TGTTATTTGTGCTTGATCCTCTGTGCTCTTCTGCTGCTCTTCTTGCAGTTAAGAGGGGGACATGGCTGTAAGAGCATGTGGCTTGATAATCTACAGAAGACTGCAGCCATCACCATCTTCTAAGGCTGCTGACAGTATTGAATACCTCCTCCTCCAGACATCTTATGGGACCCATCACTGGACCCCTCCCAAAGGTGATGTTTGTTCTGATAACTTCAGTGTTGCTTGTGTCAGGAATGATATTTCTGACTGAATTTGGCTGAATGCTCCTAAGGTTAGCTTTGGGGGCAGTTAACTAGCTACATTCACAGCTAATTGTGCTCTTTGGGCACCAGAGCCAGGAGCTGTATGGCTCTATCAGAGCCAGTATTTGGTGGTACATGGTGGTACCAGAAAAATCACAACACAGAAATATTTCAAGTACATTCTGTGTTTTCTTAAATACTGTTTCTTCCCCCTAGTTTGTACTTCTTATTTTGTAAAATACTACTCTAAACAGGAGTTTATGAATTGGAGGGAAAAAAGCTGCTAACAAAATTAGCTAATTAAAATTAGCAGAATTAATTAGCTGTGTTCTTCTGTTAATGAGCAAACTTTACAAACCTCTCCTTCTGTCCACTTCACCAAAAACCTAGCTAGAAGAGTTTGCAACCTAGTGGGAAACCAAGGGCCATAACTATTATGAGAGGAGAGACCCATGTGAAAAGCTTTCTCAGGGAATGCAGAAATTCTGAACATGCCAGCATGTTGGCAAGTGAAAAGTCTCAAACACGTGTATCTCGTGCTGTCAGATCGTAATGTTAAGGTTTTATAGATTAAAAAATGAAGGAGTTGTTACATTTTATGTTCTCTTCAGTGTGAGTGGTCTTCAAAGGCAGTTCCAGGTTGCAAAAACTTCCATACAATACAGATACAAATTTAAAGTGATTATAACTTTTAATACTCCTGACACCTCTCCAGGTGCACACAGGATACAAGTCTACTTATGACTACAGCTGCGCATTGATATCTTTAAAGTTCCCTAAGCAACCTTTATGGAATTAAACTGTGCTTGCCTGGATTCCCACACATAAACACCACTCTGATCTGTGCTCTTAAAACTGTGACCTGGTACAAATTGAGTCTGGTGAGATGAGATGCAGGGTTTGTTTTCCTCCTCAGCATATTGGGACTGCATGAGTGTAAATGAATTTGAGGAGCTGAAAGCTGCAGTGATGTGCTGTCCGTTGTCCTTTTTCTCTTCCGGGTAGGCAGAGTATACCACTCAAAGCTGGAAACTTGCTGAGCTTAGGGCAGAGGTTAGCAATAGTGGGGTGTGCTCGTTACCTTTTGCTGTGCTGGCAGCCCAGTGGTAGCATCCGTGTCCTGTGAATTGAAATTGGACCCAGCCTCCAGTTTTATTGCTGCCTCAACTACTGCATTTTTGGTAATGATAGGTCATGACTGTTATAAACTGGTTCTTTACTGCTCTTGGATGTTCTGAGGGACTTGCTGTGGATAAGATAAAAGAAATCTAATTGTGCAAGACTAGGTGTATTCTTTTTCTCAGCCATTCGTAGAAGTCCCAGCTTTGGAAATATGCATATTCTTCAGAAAGAAGGAGACTTTGACTTGCAGTGCTGAGAGTCAGGGGAAATAATTTTTACTTAAAGCTACTGTGTGTTTCATCTCAAATATCTAAAACATCAAATGCAGTGTCAGATGCTGTTTTTTGCAGTTATTTTTTAAATAGAATTGTGTTTTACATTTGAGAAAGTGTCACATAAAAGGATGGTTAAGTTACTGATACATAAAGATATAAGAGAGGCCTCTTGACAAAGCAAAATGAACTTCTCACATACACCAATTTGATTACTAAAAGGTGGCTTTGGGTGCCTGAAACCTGAGAAAATACTTGTCTCTGTGATAAGTTGTGGCTATATGCAGACACCTAAATAGAAAAGAGAGTGATACCAGAGGCAAAATAAAGCTTTTTTCTCTCCCCCCTAGCCCCCCACCCCTTGAAGCCTCTCAGCTCATGTTTCATTGCTTTTTTGAGATCTTGCTTGGCTTGTTCTATTTATGGTCTTGTCTGGATCTTTCATGAGAAAACCAAATCTGACATTTCTCAACAAAAATACAAACAGCTGGGGATATGGGGATGTGTTATATTTATCCTTTGTTTGTAATGGCCGCTCTCATTCTAAGCAACATAAAACAAATAGGGTGTCCTGGAGAACTAAAACAGCCACTGGCAAGACTGGCATTGAGGTGCGCTGTACTTCACAGGGTAATACTGAAAAAAAGTACAAAGACTCTTTAACTGCTGCATGACCCAGTGCAATAGAAAATAGTGGTGGTCTCTGATAACTTAGCATCCAAATGTTAGCATCCAAGTGTTCCTAGTGTGGCTCAGGAATTGTAACCTACTTTTGGAGTACAGCAATATTAACTATGAAGCTAGCAACCTTGTGTGTTTTCCAGCTAGTCATTTCATGATTGACTTCTTAGTGGTTGAGGATGTGCTGAAACAAGGCACAAACATACATGAAGCTGATTTGGTTCTGTTGGTAACTTTCACTTTTTTTTTTTTTTTTTTTTTTTTTTTGCTATAAAATAATGTTGAAATTTTATAGTGTTCATGATGTTGTCCTAAGCTGTGAATCAAGAGATTCAAAGGTTTTTTTTGTGAAACTCACCTTTCAGATGGAATTTGCTAGTGTCTGGTGTCATTGTTTCTGTGTTGTTTGTGTGAATAAGAGTTTTGCAGAACTGAGTCTTGAGCTTCACTGGGAGGGAAGAAGTTGAGGGAGAAGACTAAGAGTCCTGGAAATCAGCAGTCTCCTTTTGTGCTGGCTAAAGGAAAAACACTCAGTAAGCACTCAGTTCTTAGCCTGAGGTGTAGTGTGAGCTGGACCACTGTGGGTGCATGGTGCTCCAGAAGAGGAGGGTAGGGCTGGGAAGAAAAGATTTCTCATGCTAACGGGCAACTGGTTATTTTGAAAGATGCGGTATGAACAACAATTGTAAAAGCCACAGGAGCAAGATCAAGGCATAAATGTTTGAAAAGCAACCTCCTTTCTCTGATTCTAGCTTGATTCTTCGTCCACTATTGTGTTCTCTCTTCTCTCTCTTAATATTTCTCAGTTGTCAAATGAAGAAACAATATCTCAGTTTTTGTCTTGGAGATTTATTTTTTTTTTATGCTCTTGACAGGCCATGTGGATCCAGGAGAGGATGACTTGCAGACAGCCTTCAGGGAAACACAGGAAGAGGCAGGTCTTCAGGCCAGTCAGCTCACTCTTGTAGAAGGGTACAGGAAGGAACTGCACTATCCTGTCCATGGCAAACCCAAGACTGTTGTTTACTGGCTGGCAGAGGTGAAGGATTGTAACACAGAAATTAAGCTCTCAGAGGAGCACCAGGCTTTCCGCTGGCTGAAGCTGGAGGATGCTTGCAAATTTGCAGAATATGAGGATATGCAAGCAACTCTGAAAGATGTGCATCAGTTTCTCAGCTCTGATAAATAAATGCTTTTGTGAAGAGCAAGAAGAATTTTTGGAGAAGCAGCCTGATATATGTATTTTTTTAAACTTAATTTTATTTTTTAGCCAATAGAAGTACTATGTGGCTGCAGAAATATACTTTGTTTTCTAAACCTCTACAAAGTCAGTAATAGATACTTGGGGCTTTTAACGAACTTTGTCTCCCATAGCTGATGTAAAAATAATGTGGTCTGACTGAACTGTAAGATGAAGAGGTGTCTGAGTTGAAACCTTGAGCTAACAAAGTCTCTCTGTGTTCCTCTCCATTTTTTTTTCTTAAAGTGCTGAATAATTGTGTCTATTTTTTAAAATCAAGCACTTGATGTTTCTTGACTTGCTGATATAGATCTGTAGTGTTGTAAAAATGAGCATATGGAGATTTTTTAATAATAAAATGTGTATTGCAGAAGTCGCATCTTGCATTAAAAATAGGGCAGCAGTAGTTCTGTTCCCAATTCCTCTGCTGATATGCTGTGATAACTTGTCAAATCATTTCAGGTCTTGTTTGTTTGTATCATGAATTTATGTACATGGCTATTATTCTGTTACGAAAATAGTTGCTATCCGAGGAGTCTCAGTAAACTGTTGACATCCAGTATTTAAATGGTGAACTTGGAGTTCTTTTTTTCCCCCTTCCTTTTTGTTCTCTAATAGACACTTATACATACATTATTCAGAAGGTTGTGACAGGGAAATCTATGGCTGCCTAATAGGGCATTTTCTGCACGGAGTATGTGAACTAATAGGCCTTGCATCTGTTTGATAGCATCAGTGTTGGCTGCAGGCTGCACACGCAGGGGCAGCACGGTCATGCACGTTGTCAGTGCTTTGCTGCAGATAATTCTGTTGGATGATTACAGTAGGCTGTGTGGTACTTTTGGCTTCTGCATCTTCACCTGCATCAGCTTTTCTGTGAATCTCTCTTTTGTCTTTGACGTGCTAGCACTTTGTATGATCACTGATGTTCTGTTAGTAATGACTCGTAATCCTTTGGGTTTTTTGGTAATACCATAAAAGAATGATAGCATTATTAAATTATTGAGAAAGAGAACAAGTTTTCTGAATCCCTAATATCTCCCCCTTGTGCTCCCTCCAAAAAAGTCCCTTCTTCCCTTTGTCCTCTGTAGCTTTTGCTGCCTAAGCACTTGCATTTTACTGCTTTACAAAGCAAGTAAGTGTATGAGAGGGGGTTTTGCTTCTATTCTGTTTTCCTCTTTGCTTCAGGAGGGAAGATGGTAATTAGCATTATATTAGCTCTGCTGAAGACCCTCAGTACCAGAGGTGCAAGCATGACTGGGCTGAAAAATGTGCTGCAGTTTAGTGTTGCAATATTCCCCAGGTATGTGTTGCTCATGCTTTGGCACCTGTGGCAGTAATGTCATGTTTATCACTGTTACCTTCCCATGGATTGATTTACAAACGTATTCTCAAAGTGCAGGATTTTTGCATAGGTATAAAAACAAATAAAATCTAGCGTTATTCCACTTCACAGGTAAGTTTTATTTCAACTGTTAACACTGTAAAAGCATTACATTCAGGTGATGGCAGAAAGTGAACAGCGCTCAGGTTTGTGCAACTGCTCTGTGTGTTGCTCAGCTAATGGATGGAAGCAGAGGGTGGAAGACATCTCTCCAGTGTCACCTGGTCCATCCCCAACCCAAACCCATCAGCTGTTTCAGAGTCTTTCCTGGCGGACAACTGAAAATGTGCGACCTCTCATGATGAAATGCCACATTTTTCAGCTCCCCTGCCCGTATCTGGGAAAATTTGGTCTCCAGCATATAATCTAAGCAAGTGAGAAGTATCTAGAAGATAACTAGCAAGGGGGAAGGGTTGAAAACAGTCAAATGCCTGTGCAATTTCACAGCATTATTTTTTTACATTATTGTTTAAGCTGCCATCTAATCAGTACTATGCAAACAGTTGTGTGATTGCCTTCATGTTTATGGGAAAGATTTGCATGTTAAGTATGAATTACAGAGCATCTTTAACAAGTCATATGTTCTGCCCATTCAGCAGTAGTGAATGTTTGCTCCTCTGGGAAGCGCAGCACTTGTTGAACTCCATGTATGTGTTTTAATGGCATTGCTCTGTGCATAGCTCCCTAAGTGCACCAGCATTTTGGAGGTTAGCAAGTGCTGTGTGCTGTAAGACGAGGTGCTCTATAGGCAGAATTTCAAGCAACTTAACTGAGCAAAGAAAAAGTTAAAAGGTATATAAATGTGGTAAGTGGTGAGGCATTCTTGTGGGCGTTTTGAGCAATGTGTGTGCAGAATGTATTCTCATAATTTTTGTGTGTAAAAGGATGCTTACACATTTGGAAATTTGACCTAAAAGTGTACACAAAGTCTTTGGATTTGTTTTAAAGGGCAGTATTGAGAAGTCAAAATGTAATTCTGAATATTGTTTGTGTTTTTTGGTTACCGGTGGAGAAAGTGTTCTTTCTTTGCCCATGTCCAGAACTATTTTCCCAAGAAGCATCTGGGAAATGCTCCAGTAAATAGAGAATAATCTGCCTGGGGAAGACACTTATAACTAATGTTTGTGAGTTTACATCCTGAACTGCTGCATTGTTTTGGTTTTGTTTTGTTTTGTTTTGTTTTTTGAGACCAGCCAAGCTCTTAATAATATAGCAGTTAACTTTTCACCAGGCTGGAGGTCTGTGTCAGAGGCGAATGCCTTGGAGAACTTCTGTCTGCCATAGATTAAATGAAATCAAACTGTAGAGAACTGCAAGGGTACAGGCAAAGGGGATGGAGTCAGGCTTTTTTTCTGTTGTACCCAGTGCTAGGATGAAAGGCAACAGGCACAAACTGAAACACAAAAGGCTCTGTCTGAGCATCGAGAAACACTTCTGTGCTGTTTGAGTGACAGAGCATTAGCACACGTTGCCCACAGAGGTTGTAGAATATCCTCCTTGGAGATCTTCAGCAGCTGCCTGGATGTGGTTCTGGCCAACCTTTTCTGAGTGTCCCCACTTGTCCTGGTTGGACCAGGAGCAGCTAGAGGTCCTGCCAACTTCAGCATTCTGTGATTTTGTGAAGTCAGAGCTCCACTGAAATTGCGTATCTTCACTTAGGAAAAAGTGATAAATGTTAAGGTAAGTTTCTTTTGCACTACTGAACAAATATAGTGATGCAGGCTCATATCTGTAATGTGCTGGTGTTAGTATTTCTCCAGATATTTCCTGATTTATAGCTGTGATTACAGTTTACAATGTTACAAGATCAGCAAGAAGGAAGGCATAAACTCATGAATATCAGGAACACGCTAAGACATTGCAAGTTTGACTGAGTAAAGATCAGAATTGAGCATGACAGGTCACAGATAATTGTGCAAGAAGTGCAGAAGCTGAAGAGTGTCTCCTTTCTAGAAAAAAAAACAACCATGAAACACTAACAACAAAAACTATTCCTGCTCAAAGTGGGAGCAGTATATCTATTCATTGACTATTCCATGTGACTACAGAAAATCAGACTGAAACTGGTATAAAATGGCCAGATAATATCCCCAACAAGCAGCACCATTAACTTGTCATTCTACGTAAAGGAAGAGGATGTGTACTATAATGAGGTTCAGTAGATTTTAAGTACATAAATGTTTTGAGAGACAGATACTCAGCAGGACTCTTGCAGTGATGCAGAGAGGAATGGAGTGCAGTTTTTTAACTTTGAAAAATGATTTGCTGTGTTAACTTAGTGGGGGGAGTATTTTGGCAGATAGAGGAGGCTCATCTTTGAGTCCTGAAGACAGTGCTTATTAGTTAAGTTCACACATTGACAAAGTAATCAACAGCCTTCTGTGACTGTTGGCAGCTAGTTTAAACTTAAAAAGTATTTAAAGATCACCAGAGCTTGCATTATACTTTGTCTGCAAGGATTTACTTTCTCATATGCTCAGTAACTAGAAATTCAGGACAATAGATGGTTGAAGTTGGCAAGATGCCAGCTTCATTTTGCTATATTTGGGCTTTGTTAACTAGAAAAGCCAAGCATTTAGGCATTGGGTGCCTAAACAAAAGTCTGCTCTGCTTGCTTCAACCCTGTGCTGCATAGGGTGATTTCTGTGTTTAAAGAAAAAGGGGAAAAAAAAAGACCAGCTCTTACATCCCCCAAACAAAATGGTAATGCCTGGAAGGAGGTTCACTTCTTGGTGAGAATGGTGAAGAGTAACAAGCAATGAAACAGCAGCTGTGTTATTTTGGTGCTAGTCCACCTGATAGTTGGCGTTATCGAAAAGAGGGGTGATGGTTCCATCTTTCCACTCAATGAATATCTCTCCATGCCGCAAGGAAGGGGAACGAGATGGTGGGAGGTATGGCTGGGGGCATCGTCGTAAGGGAGACGTCTCCTGTAAGTCAGCTCTGCTGCTGCTGGCTGGGGGGTTCTTCAGAGCAGAGAGGATTTTCTTCTTCCTGGGGTAAAAGAGGCAAGGGTACGTAATTGCATCTGCCTATCACTTTGTTGCCTTTCCATGTAAACTGAATCAGCAACCATGATGCCCAAATTCCCTTAACAGCCTTCAAGGATTATACTGTATGTATAGGGAAGAGATAGCCAACAGTAGTATTTGCATGGGATGGTGAGTGGGAAAGAGAATAGTAGAGAGGAGAAATCATCAGTGACATCATGGGTGAGCACAGCCACATTCTGAAATGCAAAACAGGGGTAACAGACTGAAAGAAAACATAATCTAACTTACTTGTTGTAATGAACATTGAGTGTCAGTATTATTAATCCCAGTATGAATGCCAAGGGGCTGAGAACTAGCATTGCCGTCTTCCAGTTGGTGCCTGGGAGGAAGTAATAGGAAACAATCATGCCATGCTTATCCCCATTCTTATGCGATAGCCAGTGTTGCTGGAAAAACACATCAAATATCTCTCCAAACTAGCAGGTAACAGAAAAACTGCTTTTTTTTTTTTATAACATCAAACCCATACAGCTGCATTAAGTTGCACAGTATCCCTCTGTTGAAGTTGGCAATAGAGAGATTTTATTTCTTGCCTGGAAGATGACTGCTGTTGATTCTTCCCTGTTCTGCAGCACTCTGACATAAAATAAAAAAAGGCTGAGGAAAGGCACTCATGTTAGTGCGTATTTGAATTTCTTATGCTGAACAAAGTATTCTCACACGGGACAAAGTATCTGTAAGTTTTCACTTATTTCTAGGCCTGGGGAGATTGGCTTGATCTTTCAGGGGAGCTTTTCTGGGGTTCTTGTTCCTTACTAATCATCCAGGATGCAGCATCATGTAACTGCAGCAAATAAGAAAGTCAGCGGCACTGATGAGCCTCTATCTAGCTGTTCCCTGTCCTGTGCTGATCTCTGGACCTACCTGCAAGCCTAGCCCCAGTGGTTTTCCCTCGATTTCCATGATGCTTTTTAGAGTGATTGTACAGCACATCTGGAGAAAGAAGCAGAAAGACACAGATTAATGGTTTCCATTGTTGGACCAAAGGAAGCTCTGGTTTCTTCCTGAGCTGAACTGTAGCCACTTGTATGGAGCTAGAAAGGGATAAAAGGCTTGTTCCTCAATGTTTCCCTGTGTCTCGCTCCAATTGTTGGAGGAGATGGTTTGATAGATGTACCCGATCACAGATGTCTTTGCTCCTAGCACATCCTATGGCTGTGCCTTCAGACTAAGGTTGTGGCCATACACTGAACCACTTGTCAAGGCAAACATCTCAGTGTGTCTTGTGAGAGTACAGTCTTGAATCTCTCAGGAATGTATATAGCAGTTCTTCAGAAGTACCAAGGTTCTTAGTACTACTGAGAAAAAAAAACTTGAGTGATTGCTGGATGCTGCCCACACTTCTCCTCCTGCTGTTCTTGTATATGCATTCAGAAGAGGAAAGTGCTCACCCTCGTGTTCTGGGAGGTATGCCTGTTTAGTCTTCACAGGAACCACCGTGCTGTTCAATTTATTCACCAGAGATGGGTCAGTGAAGCCCACAGAAGATTCCCTCTGCATGGCATCAGTCCTTGATGAATCGATGGTTTTACCTTCGGAAAGGAAATAAAGCAAAGATACATGTGATTGTAATTCACTTTTTGTACAGAAATCTGAATACATTCAGTGCCCAGCAAAGGATGGGAACCCTGCCCTGCCATGTTAGTCCTAACCCTGCAAGGCAAATGGGATGCAATGCAATAGTAGTCACCTCTTGCAGTATAACATAGGCCTTCAGTTCTCTTGGGTTTCAAAGAGTAAATGAATTTCTGAAGACTGAATCTAGAGCTGAAACAGAGTTTATTTTCTGGTGCAGAATAAGGTAATTAGTCTAGAAAGTACGTATGAACACCAGAAGTTAAAGAGCTGTGAGGAGGAAGCAAGCTGAACCATAGCTAAGTGTTACAGGTAATACTAACACAGCAGATGAAGGAATGGGCTCAAAAGGGTGGAAAGCTTTATCTCTCGTGATTAAGATAAACATGATTTTAGGCTGAATGAAAAGAAGGTCATGGCTAGCAGACTGTGTTCTGAAGAAGCTAGAGTGCCCTGCTTTGATCTAGATTTTGTTGGTGTGCGAATGAAGGGGGAAAAGCTTATGTATCAGGTGGGCTTTCACAGTGTTTTCTAGGCACTACCTCTGCAGTAACCAGAGCAGGACACTGAAGAACTGGAGAAGATGTGACACAGAACAAGTTCTGACCAAAGGCAGGTGTTTCTATACATCAGCAAGCTGTCAGAGGCAGCAAACTGGCTGAAATCTCAACAGCATTTTTTGCCCTGACAGGCTTACAGCAGAGGTAGAGTGTGGGATAGCAGCTACTGCCAGGGGGGAGGTTGTGAAAAATCTTGCGGGAGCAAGATGCTCTCCTGCTCTGATCCATGTGGCAAAAAAGCCAGGCCTGCGGTGGGGTGGTAAGAGAACTGTCAGTTTGCACAGGGCACACTAGTGCAACCTGATTTAAAGCCTGTCCTGTGTTTATCCTTGCAGCCTTATTTGGGGAGCCTGGCTCTGAGGCAGCCCTGGACTGCCAGGAACATTGCCTCAGGGAATGCAAATGCTTTTTCACATGCCTTTTTCCCATATCTTAAATGTCGTACGCATGTCCTGGCCTATATTTAGCTTGCCTATTATAGTATTTAATTTTTATTTGCTGTATTTACCTTCATTCTAAGCAAACATTAATGCTTGTGACTACTGATCTGTGATAATTACGTTGACTTTCTAGTAGGCTTTTTAAAAACCTCAGTTAAAAGACCATCTTGTCTACATGACAGCCGTAAAAGCTCTCATATTTTCTTCTGTTTCCAATTAGATATAACTTCTTTGCGTCATAAGCTTACACTCTTAATCCATTTGCTTACACACACAAAAAAATCATATTTTTTCTTTATTCATTTCTGCAACACTGAAAATCTCTCTGAGGCCAAAAAACCTTCCTATGAGGGAACTAATTTCCCTTGAGCAAGACTGGGAATCTTGTCACCTACAGTGAACAAACACAGAAAAGTAATTACAAACACTGTCTGCATTTTAGTCCCTGGAGTGGAAGAAGAGAGGGGAGAGGAGGAACTGAGTCTCGATTCTGGACACAATTGCACAAAAGAAGACCTGAAAACACCCTCCTTTGCAGGTGAATTAAAGGAAATGGGGAATCAAACTGGATGATTAATTGTGGTTCAATTATAGTGGCCTGCAGTGGGCTTCACGAGCCATCTGAGAAATGATGGCAGCCACAGCTGGGTGCAATGGCTGTGTCCAGCTATTCTTCACTGATTCAGGCAAAATTTCCAAAATGCCTGTCTTCTGGCCATCACCAGTGTGGCAGCTGCTGTTTAGAGGCCTCGTCCTGCAAGGCATTGTGTGCTTTTTGGAAGCAATGAGCAGCAGCTCCCAGAAAGCAGCAGGGCTGACTGTGGGTTGTTGGTATGTCTGCAGACGAGGCTGATGTGACCATGGATTAGAATGAAGGATGAAAGCCTGGCGTTAGGTGACTCGAATGATGCCCAAAGTTAGCCGTTAGCTGTTTCTAACTCTACCTCATCTTACTTTCATATATCCACACCCGTGTGTCTACAACTCGTCGCATTGGTTCAGCAGGTCTCGAAGCAGCTCTCTGGGCAGCAGCACAGATGGTTTCATCCTCCAAAGTCTTCCACCTGCTGAATTTGTCCTTCTCCCTTGACACAAAGACCTTGTGGCCTCCATCCTTGGTGCTGAGGTGGAAGCCCAAGCTTTGCAGAGTCAAGTGCCCCTTCTTGCTGCAGGCCCACACTTGGTGTTCCCCGTTCCTGCAGGGCTCCAACTTGGCCAGGCCATACTCCCGTGTCTTGTGGGCTGACAAGCACTGCTTGGTCTGCAGGCTGGTGATGGTCCCACTGGCTGGGTCCCAGCTCCACCACTGCTGCTGGGAGTGTGGCACGCACTCAGCCAGGCCGATGCCGTCAGCCTCGCGATGGGACACATGGATGCATTTTTCCAGACGGATGTTTCTGATGAGGAAGCCTTGTCCCTCTGCTGCTGCAGTACAACCAGAGCACGGTTTAATATGCTACATCTCCAAGGCAAACATATCACCAAGCACTGAAAAAGCCCTGCAGAAGGGAGATATAACACACCAGACCTTTCCTGGGAGGGCTTGGCAAGATAAACCTTTCACCTGGCCTCTTGATTCCTCAGAATGACATTTCTTTAAAATTCAGAGTGCACAAAAAGTGAGGAGCAATACTGGAGGGAAGAAAACAATGACAGTGCTGTGTATCTAATTCCCATATAACTAACGGGGAAAAAGCGCACTGTCCTTGGGAAATGGTTCTTTCATGAAATATCTAACTCTACATAATTAATTTGTATTTGAACTGATTATAGCTTGAAAAAGGTACCCATCTTTCTCTTCCTCCAAAATAATTAGATGGTTTGGATTTTTTTTACCCCTTTCTAATTCGATTTTTTCATATAAAAAAGAGCAATTGAAACCCTTGAACCCCCGAATGCTATCAATTTGGGGCCAATTAGGCCACTTAGGCTATTGTTCCATTAAGTGTCTTCTTGTGCGATTACAGGAACACTAGGATAAAACCATACCCTGTTAGAAGTCTGCAGGTACTTGGCTGACACAACTCAGAACAAATATCAAACTGAACTTGAATTTAGTACGCCTGGCATTGGTCTGTGCTCCCCAGACATGAATTTACCATTTTTAAGGGTCCCTCCATAAGAGACGTTGCTGCTGTCCCACAGCAGGCATGCCATTTGAAACAATTTCTATAGTTGCTTTTTGCAGTTAGTAGCAATGGGTCTCAGCATTTCTGGTGAGTTGGGATGGATATCATCCTGTTAGCTGGACAATTATACCTACTTTCAGTACAAAATCTGCAGGTGTGGCCTGTGAACATCCTGAGCAAAATGTTAAATGCAAAACCATATGTTGCTGACACAGATGTAGCTCCTTCCTGTTTTGTGTTTTGCGCCTAAATTGCAGATTGAGGGATAGAAAGAAGTGGTTCAGGTTCCACATTCTCAGAGATATTTTAGGCTTAATTATACTTAACAAGTAGTAACTTTCAGCTTCTGCAGTGACATTTTTAATGCTTCCCCAGGAATCACAGATTTAAAATCCTGTCAACATACATACGCTATTGAGTATAAAGAGGAGACTGAAAAAAGGTAATAGACAAGAAGACCTACATCTATTTCTGCAGAATTTCCCCTCACAAGTCAAGGAACAATGCTTTTCTTTGGCAGCATGTATTTGGCTCAGTACTTGAAGAAAAAATAATGACAGTGTAAACAGGAGCTGGTACACAATACCAAGAGTAGGAACAATAGCTTAAAAGAACTTTCATGTTTTCTTTCAGGAAATTCTAGGGGTCTGCTAGATTAATAGTGTCTGTAGGCTGCTAAATCAAAAACAGCCTTGAGCTGTTTGGTCAGGTCTGAATGCATGGGGAGAGGCAGGCAGAAATCGCGGCACAGCTCCTGCACCTGCTCTGGGAGAAAGCTGGATGTGTCCGTGCTGGCAAATAGAGTTTTGTGGTCCTGAGATAGTCACCAATCCAGGCAGGTTCCAAGATGCCAAGAGCAGGTTCCTAAATGGCAATTACATTTGTGGGTACCACAAATGGTACCACCTGAGTCCAGACCTCTTTATTTCTCAGTGAGGGCTGGATAAAAACGTTCAGTGCACCTTAGGCTTGAATTTCTGCCTCAGAGACAGGTTACTGCTAGCTTCCAATGGCAGGAGAAATGTCTCATTTTCCAAAATGTCTCAGTTAATCTCCCCTAATCTTCAGAAAATCCAAAGGGATGAATACTATCCCCTCCCCACTCCTCCTCCACCCATCTGTTTATTTTAAGGAGCTGAAATGCAGGATTCTCAGAAACACTTCGCTTCATTTTAATTGAGAGAAATTAATTTCAGAAGTGATGAACTGAGAGCTACATAAAAATGTAACAGGGAATGTCAGAACCTAATGGGTCAGATAAAATATTTTCTGGGCACCTCATCCTGTCTCCAACACTCAGCATTTGCCTGTAGGGGAAGAGAGTAAAAATCAGGCAAGTAAAGAGAACATGCAAGAGAGATATCTGCAAGCTCTCCAGTGCTTTCTTCCCAAGCTGTGTGAGCTAGCAAAGAGAGCATTTCTGGGTGTCTATGATTAAAATTATTTTTCCCATGTGCATTACACCGTGTTTTTCCATGCTAATGTTCAATAACCATTTTATTGCTCAATCAGTACCATCAGCTCCTTCTGCTGCTCCACACAGCCAGCCTCACTTTACCTTATTCTGAGTAATTTTGTGCCATCAGCAAAATTTATTACTTCATTATTCACCCCATTTCCCAAGATCACTGTGCCATTGATCTTTGTCAGAGCCTGCTGATACCTCACACTGCTGTGATTGTTGTCTACTTATTCTGCCTCTTTGTTCCTTGCCTTTAATCAGTTACCAGACTGTGAGTGAAATCTCTCATTACTCTGTAAAAGCTGAGTTTTTGAGGTCCTTAGCAGAAGAATCTTTCTCTAAGCCTTTTGCAAATACAAGTGCAAGGTCCAGATCAGCTTACTATTTCTGAGCCACCGATGCCATCACTGATGTTAGTGATCCCATTACAAGATCTGTACTGGCTTTTCTCATACTTGTCTGCCTGACCACAAATTCTGTTTGTTGTTTCTCCTGATTTATCTGATGCCAAAATCAAATCCAGTGACCTGTGCTGTCCAACAATTATGTTCTGACATAATTGCCATAACCCTCTCTTTTGGTGCTGAGGCTGCTTTAAGGAACAGTTTACACAGCCCTTTGAGGTTTTAAAAATGTTGTATTCTGTTCTGTTCAGTGTGCCAGAGCCTGTCATTTGCTCAGATTTATCTTTTTTCCCTGTGTACAGTCTTTGGCAGTGTACATTCCTCCCTAGGACATCACTGTACTACCCCATATTACCTATCAGGCTCTTGCCCTTTAGAGCTGCTTTTTTCTAACAGCTCAGATTTATACAGATTTCAGTTTTCAGAGACTCATTCCACTAAATATCCAAGGCAGCCTGTCTGCCAAGGAAATACATGAAATCTAGGGAAGCTCATCACTGCAACCAGTGTGCTTTCTTTGAGATTTTTACATTTCCTCAGTAATGTATGTGGTCTGAGCATCTTCCCTACTGATGGTGTTGTTTCTCATGATATGGATCTTGTAAAGCTGGCTTTACAAAAGCAAACTTTCCATGTAACCCTGTTGGACTTTATGAACTTGAAAGTTTTTTCCAAACAAGGTGATTCTTTGATTCATGTGATCCCTATCAAGATGAGAGCCTGTGTACATTGTTTGGGTTCACCATCAGCCAACAGTACATTATTGCTTTCCTGAGGTTGACACTTTGATATCTAAAGAAGTTCACTGATGGGGAGCTAAAGGTAAATGGCAACAGTCATTTTGACCCCACAGGTCATAAGCAATGCACAAGAGAACAGAAACACATTTACCTTGGGATACATATCAGTCACTGAGACTACTAAGTCAGTAAGAAAATGATTTTTTTTCCACCAAAACTGTGAGTCCCTGCAGACCTGCAAAAAAGGCCATCTGTCCTAACATGTTAGATGTTAACCTGGAGTATGCAGACCATGGTATCCAGCTTACACCTTAAGGATGTGAGCTCAGCCCCTATGGAAAATACCAGCCTTATCCATGGAACTGGAATAGATGCCTGCTTTGATCTGCTCATGCTTGAACATTTTGGCCTCTTTATATTTTTAGGAACAAAACAAACAATTTCTAGCAATCAATGCCAGCTTGTTCATCCTATGACACTGCCACTCCGTCTGGTCACAAGAAAGAAAAACCAGCCAATGCGGTCCCCTGCCTCTCTGTGACATAACCACTCTTGGGACATGCTGCTCCTTACAGGACCAGCAGCAAAATCCATGCAATGTTCCTAATTAAGGTAATGCTGTCAGGAGAGCCTTGGTTAATGTAGCCCCAGTGTTGCTGGGAAAGTGTCTACTCTTTCTTAGCAATGTTTGATCAAAGCCATTTAGGACATTGTTTTGGGTTGGTCTCTCCCTTTAGCAGATCTGCAGAAGCAGAGGATAAGTCAGAGATCAGAGTGAGTGCAGATTTCCAAAACGCTGCAAGTGAGCAAGGAACTTGGAAATATAGAACCCACATGAACTTCTTTTGCTCTCCCCAGTCAGGATCCTAACTCTTATAATATGCCTCAGTAAGCTTGATTTCTCTTGCCAAGTTGCTGTTTTTTTTCTGAGGAGGAAATGACTGTGAAGTCACAGTGAGGAATCCACCTTCTCCTGCCTCTACCTGTCCTGGAAGGCAGGCAGCCATCTGTGTGGCTGCAGCACCTGCTGTAAAGGTTGCTTCGTGTGAATTCCCCACCACTCAGGAGAGCTCCCATGTCTTCATGGGTACCACCACAGCAGTGGGTTGCCCCAAGTCACCCAAGCAAGCAGCTCAGAGAAATGTTTTCAGGCTGCTGCTTCTACCCATACTGAGCGCAGCATTTATACATGCACTGCAGCCTGGGAACATTGCAGCAGCAGTGCCACAGCCTGGGTAACAGTGGGGCAAGCCAGAGCATTACATGCTCAGGTGAGTCTGGCTCTACTGTCCACAACTGAATAAAGTCACATTGCTATGGAGCATTCAGCAGCACAGGCTGGCCCACATTGGTCTTGTGTATCTTACCAATGTTTGCCTCCTTGCTTAACTCACCCTGAATATCATCTCTCCCAGGATTAGGACACCTCCATGGTGCTGGAGCATTGGGAGGATAAGGGTTTAGAAGAATCCCATCCTCTAAATTTGCTCTGCCAGCAATTTCTGTCTCTGTCCTAACTCAAAACACTTCTGTAAGAGCTTCCGCCTCCTATCAGAAAGGGTCCCAGCCCAGAAGAAGGGAAAATAACCAAAGAATGCAAAGAAGGACAACTTTATGTTCTCAAACACCATTGTGGTTATGAGGACAATACCAGTCCCTATCCCATACTGATATGTAATCCTCTCCCTTCGTGCAAGCACAGTATCTAACCTCATTACTAGTACCTGTTCTAGTGTGTGACGCTGGTAATGCACAGCTACCACCCTTTTCTATCCAGATCCTTGACTGGAATTCAATTTCAGAACTAATCTTAAATTCAGACATTCCTGCTGACTCATTGTAGCATATCTGCAAAACCAAGCAGTCCAGAAAGTTGGTGGATGAAGACTGAAGAGACTTTCATGGATTTAATCATAGCAACAGCAGCAATTTGCTGAGATGCCTGAAGCTATCATATCCTGCCACGAGCAAAAGCACAGCCTAATGTCTTTTCTGAACAGGAGGAAGCTGTTCCTGTGTTATTTGTTTCCATCTCCTACTGATGGTCAGGACTTGATAGAAATGAGAAGATACTGTGGCAAAACAGAGGGAAGCTCCAGTTAAGGTTGGAAGGTTCCCCTGCAGATGTATCCTGGCACAAAACATAGCTGTGTGAGATCACTCATAGGAGCATTGCTTTTAATTTAACTGGAGTAAGCAGCTTGAGGTGCTGTCAGTTACGGACAAACATAAACTAGTGAGCAGGAGCAGACTTGGATGCTGCCCAGAAATAGCTCCTTTTTACAAAATCCCACCAATGCAGGAAACCAGCCCAGGGTTGTGGGATGAGGAAATTAAACATAACTTGTTGTCATAAGAGAGATATGATGAGGCAGATGACCTGGATGCATTCAGTCAAAAGCAGGAAACTGTGCTGCAGTGACAGCCATGGTGTTGGGCATCATGTTGATCCAAAGGTGTCCAGTCTTTATAAATGTCTCCTTTTTGGCAGTGGGGTTTTTGTATAGGAAAGACTGGGATAACTGGCTTAAATCTGGAGGTTGATCCTTATAGCCCCACTGAAAGCCTGCATGTTTACATAGTTGAAGGCCTGACCCACGGCAGTCAGCAAGGCATGAGCTAGGGACTGGCCCAAGAGCTTGGTAGGCTGATAAACTTACAGCATGATCTTTTTTCTTTGGGAACTCCTGAAAATTGGAATATAAACAGGGGACTGAACAGTCAAAAGACTGTTTTCCAAGTAAGTAGGGCAGAGCTAGGTACTCTCAAAGGAAGGCCTGTTTTGCTTTAAAACAGGCAAAAAGTGTTGCTTTAAAACAGGCACAAAGTGTTGTGGCTGAGAAAAACCATCCCATTCACTGTAACTGTGATCTATGCCCTCAACAAACTGTCATATGGCAATTTGAAAATCCGCCAACCTGACTTCCAGTTACTTTCTGGATCTATCCTCCACTCCAGGGCCTCTACTAACAAGAGGCAAATCACAGAATCATAGAATGGTTTGGGTTGAAAGGGACCTTTAAGATCACCTAGCTCCTACCCCCTTCTATAGGCTGGGATACCTCTCACTAGACCAGGTTGCTCACAGCCTCCTATAGCCTGGCCTTGAGTGCCTCCAGGGAGGGGGCATCCAGAACATCACTGGACAATCTGTTCCAGTGTCTTCACCACCCTCACGGTAAAGAATTTCTTCCTACCACCTGTTCCAGTTTAAGGCCATTTCCCTTCATCTTGTCACAACATGCCCTTATAAAAAGTCCCTCCCCACAAGAGTGCTGCTCCTGAGTGGTCTCTTTGAAACCAGTACAGAACTTGCAGGGTGGTTCAGGACATGTATTTCTCCTGCAGAATGCAGATCGACACAAATCACCGCCTTTTTGAGGGTAGGGGACTGCAACTTCCATGCAGGATTCAGATGTTGTTCATGTTGCCCAATTGCCAAGCCAGGTAACTGAAGTGTGCAGTTGTTATTAGATCATCATGTACGCTGATTTCATTTTTGCTATTGTTTTTCCCACACATTTTCTCCTGCTTGTCTTATGGTGACAGCTCTAAAGAGAACTTTGAGAACTTCTGTCCTTTGATTCATCGGACTTTTTCTGGGCATGGGGCACTTTTGGAAATCTCTGTCATTTAAATCTGAGATCACTATTCTGTAGACTTACATTCACTTTTTTTTTTGTAAAATGGGGCAAAGGCAGACCTGGAGCTGAGTGAGCAGCTACCTGGCAACTCTGGGTTTATGGTGCACTATTTCCATCACTTCAGACAACAGATTAGCTCTCATAAGTCATGTCATTTTTATAGAAAAGTCAACAAAGCCTACTGATATTGCCAGTAATTAGCTGGCAAATTGCTTGTCACGGCAAGCACTTGATTGCAAATACTTCATGTTCTGCACTCAGATTACTTTCCAGCAACACAGTACTCCAAGACTTGTTTTCAGCTGTTGCTTCTAGCAACAACACTGCCCTGTGTTTTTTCCTTACCATTGCAGTTTTCTTAGGAAAAACCTTATTTTTGTTTGACCAACAAGTCTTCATAACTCTTCCTACTGGTATAAGGTCTACTTTTGACTGAGTATCTAAGACATCAGAGCAGTCATAGAAATAAAGGGAAAGTTTTTGTGTGGAAACACACATGGGTAATTGATGGGAAGCAGAGGTCAGTGAGGCCAAAAAGCTGATGTATGTGGGGAAATCCAATCCATGGAGGGAGATATGGAGGAGATCTTTGTAATCTTTGTAATTCAGGAAGGTCAGAAAGAATGTGTGGGGCTGACTGTCCAGGAAACAGCCCCAAGAGGTACTGGAGGCAGAAGAGGAAGGCTAACAGCATTGAGGAGGAGATGGCTCCATGCACACCGCATTCTTGCCATAAGAGAGATTCCATGCAGGTGCATGGAGAGGAATCTGGTAGCCAGTGAACAGTTAAACACACTGGGTTGAGGAAATCCCCGAGCAGAAAACAGTTGGAGGTTGGAAAAATGTTTGGGGAGGAGAAGTACTGGATACCATTGGCCTTTATGCCCCTTCCACAGATGACGCTTAAAGGAACCAGTGGAATTGGAGCCACCAGCTGGGGAGAGGAGTTCCTAGGGGTTGTTGTGTTGAAACACCTGTGCAGCCATTGCTCTCAGCTCCCTTGAAGGCATCAGTGTGAAATGTGGCATTATTTCAGCAGTTTTCAGTTTGCAGCTTTCTGTCTGATCTCACAAGCACACGATAGTGCTCTGCAGGGGAGCTGTGAGACTTCACTTTGCAGGAAGACACTTCAGCTCCCCAATGGATGGCAGGGAGTTTCCAAAGTTACCAGCAGCTTAGGCAATTCCAGGATTCCCATTTTCCAGCAGGAAAACGAACCCTCTGAAGTCTGCCAAGAGCAAGAACCTCTGTCCTGCTTAGAGCCTTAGGACTGCAGCTGTAGGTGGGATAGACCGTGGGTCACACCAGAGAACGTTTGCTCTCTGCCCTCTGAGCTTGTTTTGGGCATTCCCAGACACTGGAGAGATGTATTCAATTGTTGCAAAATCCCTGTGGTTTTGTCAGTGTTTAGCTGAAATGCAGCAACTGATCACACGATTACATCAAATGCATTTCACTGGAAAAGAACAGAAATTTGGAGGAAAACATCCTGTGATCCTCCACAATTTACCAACCAAACATCTGTGGAGCTCTGTTGTGTGACAGCAGAAAAGCACTACTGTCTCCCAGCACCGGGCAAGATCTCTGCTGGAGCAAAGAGAAAGACAAGATCCCTACAGCCTTCCTACAGTCCCGACATCCCAGCATCTCCTGCTCCTACCCTGATTTCACTGCTCACTGGCACAACAAAAAGCATGCATTCATCTAAGACTTAAAAAGGAGAGACAGGATTTGCTGGATTTACTTTAAGTGAGGGTTTAGGGTGCAAAAAATCCCTGGGGAATCTGAGGTTTGTCTTTAGGGAATAAAAATCCCAGCTGCAGAGACAAAATTGTTGTCTAGGGAGCCTGAAAATCTCCGAGCTTGCAGCTTGTAAAACCACAGGTTTTTTGTCCTTGCATTCAGGGGCTGAATGAGCCCTGAAACACTTCAGAGATTTATTTCAGTGAAGAACTTTCAATAACCTGCATCCTCAGGCAGAACAACAAAATAAAAACAGAATTATTTATTATTTCTGGGACTTTGCTGCCTGCTGTCCGTGACAGGTGAGCCAGCTGGAGGGCTTGTTCCTGAGAGACATCTCTCTGGCTCTGCAGGATGCTGCTTGCCAAGGCTCCTTCTTCTCTCCTCTCCCCAAACCCCAGGCTGCTTGGCTCCCAAATCCTCCCTGCAGGATGCCGTATTTCAGCAACCTTGGCAGTAGGCAGTCACCCACTGGAGCACAGCATGATCTGTGCCATGCTGAGTGGCACGGGGTCCTCAGCACATTCTGCTGCCCACTGACCACCGTGCAGCAGGACCAGCACCGCAGGGTCCTGTCCCCTTTTCCACTGTCTGACACCAGGACAGGACAGGAAAACCAGCACCCAGGGATTAATTCACCCGCAGTTTGCCTGACTTGCTGTTAAAAGTGGCCAATATAATGCTGCAGTGCCCTGCATGAGCAGTCTCCTTAAGCACCTGTGTTTAACCCTACTTTAAATTTGAAGTGCACCTGCAGGCACTTCTTTTACAGCCGGTGGGCTTAGAGCTTTGCAGGCAAAGCATGTCAGCAGGAAACTGGGTTAAGCTCCGGGAGGTGCTTCACTTCTCCCTTTTCTGGCTACCCCGAAGGAAGAGAAACTTACCCTCAAGCCAAGGCAGGAGACAAATGCAACTCAGACTCAGCCTGAAAAGCTCCATTGTGTCCCAATTCGGACGGGTAAGGAGCCTCGGGAGCCCTCTCTGTCATTCAAGGCAGAAAAAGCCTGCCAGGAGGAGAAATCTCCTCTTTCGTCCTAGCTCTGGAGCCTTGGCAGCAGGCTTATCAGCGAAGCGTCGGTGGGACGCGGTCCCGCTGGGCGTTATCCCGTACGAGAAATCCTACGGCGAGCCGGGCTGGAGGGCACGCCGCACCGACGCGGAGCAGCCGCCGACCGCGGCTTCTCGCTGCTCCTCGGCAACAGGAGCCGCATGCTAAGGAGCCTGGCGGGCTGCCCCGCGGGGCTGGGCCCGAGCAGGATGCAAGGCTCGCCCGGGAAGAGAAGGCAAAGTGTGGAGGGGCGTGGGATGCCCAAACCTTGGGCTCGGCTGGGGCGGGCGCTGTCACGGGGTCGTCGGCTCTTCAGGGATGGTTTTTTGCGTGCGTCAATTTGAGCTCTGCGCTGCGGGAAAGCCCCACGTTGCTCTCCGAGCAGCAGCAGCTGGGTGAAACAGCAGCCGGGGAGGCCTGAAGAATGACTTTGTCAGAGAGATGCTCTCTACCAGCCCCCTTCTCGCTGCGATTCCCTGTCCCACCTGCTCGCTGGAGCGTTTTCCCTCTGCACCATCATTAACTGCAGAGCTGCCTCTTGTACAAAGACACCCATTTTTCCTTTTGGCTCCCGTGCTGGGTGGCATCAGCATCGAATCTCCCCGCTCTGCCCATGAGACCAGCAGTTCCCTGTGGAGCTGCTCCTGCCTGACCATCGTGCTGCACTCACAGAAAATGCTGCAGAACTGCAGTTGCAGAACTTCCCTGGGCAACACACCGTTGCACTGAACACCGGTGTATTAATTTTTAAAAGCACATACATTATTTTTTTTTCCACATTACTGCTTTGTTCTAAGGTATAAAATGTGAATGCTCTGCTGTATTCACTGGGAGAGGCCCTTCTGCAGAAGAGCAGAGGGAGGACCTTGTTTTCCTTCTCCGGAATGGAAGTGCACTGCAGGCAGGTGGAGAATGTTTCCATGAATATTCTGGTGCAGAGGTTGCTGTGGTCTTCCACAGCTAATCATGCTATTATTCCTTCCCAATGAACAGTACTTCACCTGCTTTTCTTCTCCTGGATCTTTGGTCCATTTTACATGAAGAAAATGGGGACATGGAGAGGCTGTGTTGTGTCCAGTATCAGAAAGGCTGTCTCTGATCTACCTAATCCTGCAGTTCATAGAATCATAGAATTTTTAAGGTTGGAAAAGACCTCTAAGATCATCTAGTCCATCTGTCAGCCCATCCCCAGCATGCCCACTAACCACATCCCTCAGTGTGACATCTCCATGTTTCTTGAACACTTCCAGGGACAGTGACTCTACCACCTCTCTGGGCAGTCCATTCCAGTGCAGTACCACACTTTCTGTTCTCCCAGTCCACTGAATCACTATTGTTTTTCAACACCCAGAAAGCCTTTTCCGAGCCATGCCAGGAAGGCGTCCTTCTCTTGCCCTGACGTGGCATTTTAACATATTATGACCATGCTGGATCAGTCCCCTGGACTGAATCTGGTGAGGACTCAGAGTGGCTGTTGATGGAAAACTGAGAAATAACAATAATGAGGCTTAAAATTTTCCTTCCATTTTCATCTCAAATTTTAGTCCAGTGCTGCTGGTGTCTCAGATCACCCCTGTGAACTTCACAGACCATAGAACTACAGTTATCTGGGTCTTGGAAAAGACCAAGGTCATCAAGTCCAACCATCTTCATGACCTACTGAGTTCCAACACTAATCATGTCCTTAAGTTTCATGTCCACACATCTCTTGAACACCTCCAGGGACGGGGACCTCACCACTGCTCTAATGTGTGACCAAAATGTTGTTGTGCTTTTGCTGCCTCCACACAGGTGGTTTGAGGGAAGTGTTGCCCATGCCCACCTCCATCAGCACCTTTACATCACCTTTACTTCACTTCATTTTTTTTGCATTTACATTTCCTTGATGGCATGGGTGAGTCGTTCGATCTTTTTTTCATCAGGGTGGGATTTCAGCTCTGTGACAGTTATCTTGCTTCTAATAACCTCTCCCACCTGCTGATAAGCCATGCTCACTTCCTTTGCTCACTTCCTTCGTAACTTTTCTTGTAGCTCAGCTCACCTTCCCTAGGTCTGATGCCATCAATTCTGGCTGTCATCAAGAGACACTGCAGTAAGTGGGAGCTTCCCCTTGCTGTCCCCATCCTCCTTCAGGGCACATGGTGGATATGTGCTCCACCCACAGGAGCAAATTAGCACTACAACCAGAGGCAAGTCCATTCCATCTGGCAATACTCAGGTACAGGATATTCAGCCTGTCCCCACCAGTGCTGGGTGGAGGAGAGTCTAGCCCAGAACACCATGGCAATTACCATGCAGGAAAATTGTCAGCCTAAAAGTACTGAAACAAAGCAGCTTAACATCAGCCACTGAGATCTTTGGGTCTCCAGATAGCAGATCTTTCTTATCTCTCATGTGGAGCACATCATCATTCTGCTCCAGTGCATTTTAAAAGCACACACCCTGTTACAAAACCAGACACCTCTTTGGCCTTATTTCTTATACATGTAAGGAAGAACTCACATACAGAATTCTCTGCGAAAGAGCCCATTCTTCCACAGTGCACTGACTGGCTGACAGCACAGCTTAGTCTCTTCCATAATATTTCCATGGCTTTTCCTAAGCTTCCCTAGGAGGGAGCAAAAGACTTTCAAGCTGTGTTGTCTCCCACGCAGTGAAGGATAGTTCCCATGAAGAGAAGGATAGTTCCATAATTGCTGGCTCCCAGTCACATCATTTCAATGTCTGATTGGTCCTTGCTGACCTGCATCCCCTGGATCAGCCTTGTTCATGGGTCCATCCTCAGTTTGTTGAGTGCATTGCATTTTCCTCTTCATTTTGCATGGTAATGTTAATCAGTGAATGATAGGTTTCAGGGAACTCTCTTGCATGTGATCAGGCAAAGCTTTGTGGCAGTGCCCCTATCACATCCCTTGGTCTGTTGCCTGGTGCTAAACATGATCCATCCCTCCATCTACAGTCACTTCAAAGATGGGCTTTCATTGCTGTGATTGAGGTTGGATAAATGTTTTGGGGGTGGAACTAGATTATTTGAGGTCCTTTGCAACCTGAGGCATACTATGATTCTGTGATTATCAAAGTAAACCAAGGGAGCTGGATATCATGGTTGTCTCTGCTGTGAAGCTTTTGATCACTGGGAAGTTTTTGATGTCTTATGTATGGGAAAAATCCACCACAAAAATCCCGGGTCTCTAAGAACGCAGAAGGCAGAAGATACTTTCCCATAAGGTTGTACCCAAAGAGTGGTTGTCAATGGATCCATGTGCAGTTAGAGATCAGTGACAAGTGCTGTCCCTCAGGGTTCAGCTCTGGGTCTGCTGCCCTTCAGCGTCATCACGAGTGACACGGCAGTGGGACGGAGCGCACCCTGAGCAGTTTGCGGATGACACCCAGCCGTGCGGTCGACACGGCCGAGGGACGGGATGCCGTCCAGAGAGACCTGGCCAGGCTGAGCGCTGCGCCCAGGGGAACCTCGTGAGGCTCAGCACATCCAAGCGCGAGGCGTCGCACCCGGGTCGTGGCAACCCCCGCTGCCAGTACGAGCCGGGGGACGTAGGGACAGAGCACGGCCCTGCCGGAAAGGACCTGGGGGTGCCGGGGGATGGCAGCCGGGCGTGAGCCAGCAGTGTGCCCTGCGGCCCAGGCAGCCGGCCGGATCCTGGGCTGCATCCGAAGCAGCGCGGCCAGCGGGGCGAGGGAGGGGATCCTGCCCCTCTGCTCTGCGCTGTGACACCGCACCTGGAGCGCCGCGTCCACAGCTGGAGTGCTCAGCACAGCAGAGACGGGGGCCTGCTGGAGAGCGTCCAGAGGAGGGCCGCACGAATGGTCAGGATGGAGCAGCTCCCTGTGAGGACGGGCTGAGAGCTGGGGCTGTGCAGCCTGGGCAAGAGGAGGCTGAGCGAGAGCTGAGGGCGGCCTGTCTGTGTCTAGTGGGGGCTGTAAGAGAGGTGGGGACAGGATCTTCTGCAGTGTCTGCTGTGACAGGACAAGGAGAAATGATTTCACACTAAAAGAGGGGAGAATTAGGCTGGATGTAAGAAAAAAGGCTTTTATGATCAAGGCGGTGAGGCACCAGAACAGGTTGCCCACACAAATGGTGGATACCTGTTCCTGGAGACAGTGTGCCCAGGTGGCCAAGAGGGCCAACGGCATCCTGGCCTGCATTAGAAATAGTGTGGCCAGCAGGAGCAGGGAGGTGATCATCCCCCTCTACTCAGCACTGGTGAGGCCGCACCTCGAGTGCTGTGTCCAGTTTTGGGCCCCTCACTACAAGAAAGACATTGAGGCCCTGGAACGTGTCCAGAGAAGGGCAACAAAACCGGTGAGGGGTCTGGAGCACAAGTCTTATGAGGAGCGGCTGAGGGAGCTGGGAATGTTCAGTCTGGAGAAGAGGAGGCTCAGGGGAGACCTCAGTGCACTGTACAACTTCCTGAAGGGAGGTTGTGATGGAAAAAGGTCTGGCCTCTTCTCCCAGACAAATAGTAGGACCCGAGGAAATGGCCAGAAGTTGTACCAGAGGAGGTTTAGGTTGGACATTAGGAGAAACTTTTTCTCTCAAAGGGTGGTCAGGCACTGGAATGGCTGCCCAGGGAGGTGGTGGAGTCACCATCCCTGGCAGTGTTCAAGAGGAGCCTGGATGAGGAGCTACGAGAGATGGTTTAGTAGCTTGTGGTACTGGGAATGGAAGGGTGGTTGGACTAGAAGATCTTGCAGGTCGGTTCCAACCTTGCGATTCTATGATTCTAAGGTCAGGCTAGAGGGGCTCTGAGCACCTGATGGAGCTGTAGGCATCCATCCTCCTTGTGGGGGAATTGGTCCAGATGACCTTCAATAGTCCCTACTAACTCAACTTATTCTGTGATTCTATGATTCTGTTCTATGACTGTATGGAACATTTGATCTCTGGCTCATTGTTACAAGAAAATAGCAACCAGAAGTGAGAGCCTACAAGCTGTTTTGCCTCAAGGAGAGCAGGCAAGGCTTTCCTTCCAAACAGAACCTCCATAGAGCCTCGGTCTGGATGGTGGGAAATCCAGACCAGAGCCAGCTCCTGGCTTATTCCTCCGCCTGGTGCCAGCTCAGCACACCTACCTTCTCGGAGTGGCTGGGCACACTTCCCTTCCCCATCGGACACCTCCAGAGCTCCCAGTATTTCCTCGCACCAGGGACTGCCCCGGCAAGGACCGTTCTGGAGGAGATCCTGCGGCTCCCAGCTCGGGCTGGCTCGGCAGATGGAGCTGCTCCCCAAGGATGCAGAGGAATGCTGGGCTCAGACACCGCTTAAAGCAGAGAGCTCTGCGCTGGGCAAGGAGATTATTTCTGCATTTTCTTTCTGCCGGATGGGGAACGAGGGGTTTGTTTCAGTGAGAGCTGAACGACTGTGCCGCACACTGCTTCATTCCCGCAGGTGAGGGGCTCAGAGGAACAGAAAACCCTGGGTAATATTTCTGCTCCAGACGTGATCTGGACTCGCCTGGCTCTAGGGGGGGTGTTTGCAAAGCCACGAGCCAGCAGCGACCACAGTGAGACGAGCTATCAGCTCTCAGTGCAGTACGCAGCGCAGGGACATCAGCGCCCATTCCCCGTGCACAGACCTCCCGCAGCCCCTGGCAATGCCTGCGTCCACGGCCGGTCCCTTCGCGCTAAGTCCTTCTGGCTTCGTAGCTAAGCTGTGCGATAAAGCTGTCCTTCCCTCGCTCCCCTTCTCCGCCTGCGGCGACAGCGAAACCTCTTCTCTCGCAGCAAGTAAGCGCACAGGGAGCGGGGTCAAACGTGAACGGGCAGCCCTAAATTCCAGCACGGGAAGCACTCCGCATGTGCCAGGCTGGAAGGTGGAAACTGATGAGAACTGCGTTCTGCTTGGGGTGTGTTTGGTGTAAAAAAGTCCCACTTCGAGCAGCTGTAGTGGGGCTGGTGTATAATTTGTTCTTGCAGAGCTAATAGAGCAATGGTTTGTTTATGAGTGTAACTTACAGCTAGCTACCTGTGGCTCTTCTGGTCAGAATGCGCCGTATACTCTGCCTGCAAGTGCCTGACAGCAATGCTGTGGTGTCTTTATAATCCTTCATAAATGGATTGTTCACATAATAAACATTCCCTTTAGTTAAATATGGGATTATTTCATGTCAGGAGGTTCTCTCCCCCTGCACCAGGAACAGGCAAACACAGCTGAAGGCTCCTTCCCTGCACTATGAAGCCTGAAAGCCCCGGTTCAGGTATCACATGGCAGGACATGGGCTGAGACCGGGCAAACTCATGCCAGGCGTGCCAAGTGCTCAGCAGTATTGCAAGGGGCAGAGGTGTGTGGGTGCACCAAAGTGTGTGGCTTTCTTTCCCCTGTGTGTTGTGTGCTTCATCCCCTGATGCCCTTTAGCTGCTGTTTAAAAGGGTCTAAAGTCCCGTCTCAGTTTCTGCATGCAAGGGTGGCAGCTATGTCAATATTTAATCTGCACACATTAAGGGCTGCTCGTATCCTCTGGGCTCCTTGTGGAGGACAGCAGAATGGCTGATGTGGCAGCAGCCAGTAAACCAGCCCAAATGAAGCACAAGTATGCCCATGGTCTACTCTGCCCTCCCAACGTATCTGTGTACTGGGTTTGGCTCCTTGAGGAGTACAGGGAAGGGAAGAAAAGGGAACAAGAGAAAAGGGAAGAGAAGCTGTGAGAAGGAGAGCAGAGGAGAGAGGCGAGGCGAGGTGGGGCGAGGGGAGGAAATAGAAAAAAGGAGAAAGTCCTAAAATCCCTTTTCCCCTTTCTCTTTTTCTCTCTGAAAAGCGGCAGTTTGTCTTAGAGAAATCCCAGCTAGCAGGCAGGTTGGGAGGGCAAAAAGAGGAAGGAAGGAGGAAGAAGAAAACTCAAGGGCGGCAACTCAGAGCTGAGTACACAAAAACATCTTCAAAGCAAGGAGCTTGTTTTTCAAATACACCGTGGTTTCGCTGGAAACAACCAGAGCTGAGCCGGGAGCGGGGCCAATCCCAGGGCTGCTGCCAGCCCCGAGCCCTGGCAGCGCGCCCTAGTGCGCATGTAACCCAACCTGCACCCAAACTGCCCCCGTCCCACACCGAGACCGAGAGGCCCCCGACCCACACCGACAGGCTGCCACCTCTTCGGGGCACTACGACCTTTCTTTTTCCTATTCTCTGCAGTCCCTTGCCAAAGGATGGGTTCCACAACAGCAATATTTGCCCGTGATGCTTTTATCCTTTCTGGCTCTTTTTCAGGTCCAAGCATTGCTCACCCTGACAACTTGCTGGAAAAATATCCCAGTGTCTCCTTTTGGTGACAGGGAGGCTGCTGTGATCAATATCAAACACAGTGACCTCTGGTATTTCTGATGGCTCCCTGGGCAGCTAATCATCTCCATATACTTAGTTACTGATGTCACAGTGGTGCGGGTAAATATTCCTGACATATATTGCTGGGGAATGCTGTGCTAAGCAAGATGGATTTCTTTCTTCTTCCCCTCCGTACGCACTGCTCCTGCGAATGTGAGATCCTAAGGGTGCATCAGACCGCACAAATCCCCAGACTTGTGTCATCTGCTCCATCTTCTGCCATTTTTGCTGCCTGCCACTGGATGCTTTTTCAGATGCTGGGATCTTGGCAGCTCTTGATACAGCTGAGCTGTGTGTGGCATTACTGTGCATTTCTCGACAAACTAAGGTTTTTGGCTTTAACATAGACCTGGTTTGGCAACAATTCTAGTCTAACACCCTAATCACAAACTCTGTGCTTACATATCTTCCACCCCTTTTGCAGCATGGACTCTGGCTTGGTGTAAGATATGTGCCCTGGGAGTTACAGGATTTAATAAGGACAAGAAATGGCGGATTGGATGAAGGGAAATATCCTTTTCCCCACGTGGAATGAGATGGGTTGCTGTGTGACAGGAGTGCTCTGCATTCTCTATACACAGATGGGAAAACCTGGCAGAGCAAACATTCCATATAAAAACACAAAAATTTTGATCAAATTGTGCTGTCCAGCCCCAGTCCCCAAGTAGCAGCCCTTCTCCCCAGCCCTGTTCTCTGGGCTGGATGCAACAGGATGCAATACAGTCGCGGCCAGGTGATGGTCATGGGAATTCTGGCATCATCCCACTCCAAAAAAACTCAGTGAGCAGGCTGTGCCAGCACAGAGCAAAGCGAGCTGGAGCCACAGGGCTTGGAGATCCACAAGAATCTAGGGCTGTTAGAGTTAGTTCCTTTTCTTCACTGGTCATAATCCTCTGTTTTGTAAACTAACACAGCAGATGTGAGTGAAGAAGTTTGGAAAGGAGACAGGGAACACCTTCACACAGTATTGTGGCTCTTCCTTCAACAGGAATAGAAAAAATTAAGCAGCAAGGTTCTTAACCAAGGGCTCATGGAAAGTCAGATTATGCACCGCAAAGAAAAACATGACAAAATTAAAAAAGAACAGGACAAAGAAATCTATTGGACCAGAAACTTCACACCGGTGAAGCAGAAGCCATCCAAAGAGTTGAGGCCGATGCTGGGGGCCGTCACGCTGGGCCTCATCCTGTTCATCGCCGCGGTGGTGGCCTGGTGCTACTACACGGTGTCCCTGCGGAAGGCGGAGCGGCTCAAGACGGAGCTGATGGACCTGCGGGCGGACGGCTTCGTCATCAGGAACCAGCACGGGGAGGTGGTGTTCCGGCTGGCGTTCCGCTCGGGGAGCCTGGACCTGGAGTCGTGCTCCAAGGAGGGCGAGATCCTGAGCTGCACGCGGTCGGACCGGGGGCCGCTCAACTTCTTCATCCAGACGGTGAAGCCCAAGGACACGGTGATGTGCTACCGCGTGCGCTGGGAGGAGCTGGCGGCCGGCCCGGCGGTGGAGCACACCATGTTCTGGGAGGACGCCCACTGGTACGGGGGCTCGGAGATGAGCACTCAGCACTGGCCCATCCGCCTGGCGGGCTACCAGGAGCCCGTGCCCTACGTCACCAGCGACGTCTACTCTTTCCGCGACAGCTTCGGGGGCATCCTGGAGCGCTACTGGCTCTCCTCCAAGGCGGCGGCCATCAAGATCAACGACTCGGTGCCCTTCCACCTGGGCTTCAACGCCACCGAGCGCTCCCTCTTCTTCCAGGCCCGCTACAAGGACTCTCCCTACAAGCCCCCGCCGGGGCAGCAGCCCTTCCCCGAGCTGAGCTACCGGGTGTGCGTGGGCTCCGACATCACCTCCATCCACAAGTATATGGTGCGCAGGTACTTCAACAAGCCCTCCAAGATCCCTGCTGAGAACGCCTTCCGATACCCCATCTGGTCCACGTGGGCCCTCTACAAGAACGATATCGATCAGGATAAACTCTTGCGATTTGCAGAAAAGATTAAGAAATACCATTTCAATTGCAGCCACATTGAAATTGATGACATGTACACACAGGCCTATGGGGACTTTGACTTTGACCCTGTCAAGTTCCCCAACGTATCTGAGATGTTTGCAAAACTGAGAGAAGATGGGTTTAAGGTCACTCTGTGGATTCATCCCTTCATACATGTGGATTCTTCAAATTTTGGTGTGGGGATTGAGCGTCAGCTCTTCATCAAGGAGCCGTCAGGGCGGCTGCCAGCCATGGTGGAATGGTGGAATGGCATTGGGGCCATCCTGGACTTTACCAACCCAGCAGCCCGGGACTGGTTCCAGAGTCACCTGCGCCAGCTCCGTCACAAGTACGGCATCTCCTCCTTCAAATTTGACGCAGGTGAGACCAGCTACCTGCCCAAGCAGTTCAGCACCTTCCGGCCTCTCTCCGACCCCAGCATCTGGTCCCGGCGCTACACCGAGATGGCCATCCCCTTCTACGAGCTGGCTGAGGTACGGGTGGGCTACCAGTCGCAGAACATCTCCTGCTTCTTCCGCATCATTGACCGCGACTCTGTGTGGGGCTATGAGCTTGGCCTCAAGTCTCTCATCCCTACAGTGCTCACCATCAGCATGCTGGGCTACCCCTTTATTTCTGCTGACATGATTGGAGGAAACTTCCTCCCCAACAAGACGGATGGAGCAGTTGAGATCCCGGACCGGGAGCTGTACATCCGATGGCTGGAGCTGTCGGCCTTCATGCCCTCCATGCAGTTCTCCATCCCACCGTGGCTCTACGACAAGGAGGTGGTGGAGATCGCGCAGAAGTTCACGGAGCTGCACGAGTCGCTGGTGGCCCCGCTGCTGCTGGAGCTGGCCGGGGAGGTGACCGACACGGGAGACCCCATCATCCGGCCCATCTGGTGGATCTCGCCCCGCGACGAGGCCACGCACCGCATCGACTCGCAGTTCCTCATTGGGGACACCCTCATGGTGGCTCCTGTGCTGGAGATGGGCAAGCAGGAGCGCGACGTCTACCTGCCGGCGGGCAAATGGCGCAGCTACAAGGGGGAACTCTTTGAGAAGACGCCAGTGCTGCTCACGGACTATCCTGTCGACCTGGACGAGGTCGCCTACTTCCTCTGGGTTTCCTAACCGGATCCTCCATCTGCTTTGCTATGGTCTTGTGGATTAGTGAACACTTGATTTGAATGACCTGAGAATTTTAATAGTTTTTGAAGTAGAACTGTATAATTGTTTAAGTAAGAAGAAATATTATCACCTCTCTTAGTGTTGCAATTGCAGTGGAGTAATAAAGCAACATATTGGATGTATACCTTTGTTCTTTCTGTTTGACAGTGTAGTGATGGAGATTCTCCCCTTCTAGTATTTTCTCATCAAGGAAGGCCGTTCACATTATATAAATGACTACATTTGTCTGTGGTTTACAGGCAGTTGTGCTGCAGTTGTTTCTGTAAGATGCTTATTAACCCCCATTTGCTTAGTGGACAAGGCAGTTGAAGCAGAGAACTTTCTTAAAAATAAAATTAAAAAATCCATGATTAACCCAAAGGAGGTGACTTCAAATTTTCAGCCTGTAAATCAGATGGGTGCTGAAGCAGGGTGAGTTTCCATTTCCCATGGATAGGGTTATCCAATATAGCAGAAAGAAGCTTTAGCACTTCTTAATACTGTGGCAATCATCTCCTTTTAATGAAATAAATTACTGAGAAACATGTCTCTGTTGTGTATTCAAGTCTGCAAGCATTTGATGAAGTCTCAATAGCAGTCGAGACTAAAAACTAGCAATAAGTCATGCATTGGTGAAGACCATTAAAGGGATCTGTTTGTGTTTGTGGCCTGGTTTAGATTCAAAGGTTGCAGTCTAACCACCACAAAGATTGCAGATGAAGACTTGGTCAAGACTCCCATAACAGGAGCAGAGTTGATCCATTTGAGCCAGCATCCCACAGACATGACTTCTCCTGAATGAAGGCATCTCAACAGCACCCGTAGGCTTGGGTAAAGTGGGCTACCTCTGAAATGCCCTCCACTCTCAGTCCATTCTTCCTCATTTCTAAGCTAAGAGAAATTTAAATTTAAATGTGACTGAGAAGTTTAGGAGAGTCCTGGGGTCTCTGGGCTGAGATGTTCCTTCCCAAAGCAAGGGGCAATTTCCTTCCCTAGCCTTGATGGGCTGCTAGTGGCACCAGAGGTAAAGCTGTGCTTGGCCCAAACCAGAACAACCTCTTTCTTTAGAGATTTGCTCTGGAGCTGGTTGATGTTATGAGTTTATGGGGGACTTGAGAGCATCACAGTCGCTCCGGAGCTTGTTTGATGCTCAGGCTCCACAGCCTCACCAATGGTTCTGTCATGCTGTAGGATCGAGAACCAACACTCAGATTCATGTTGGTGTGTGAGCTCACTGGCTTCCCCCCTGAGCTTTGGGGACAGAAGAGAGCCCCAGACAAGCTCCTCATGCATTCAGTAGGAAAAAAGTTGAGGTTCTTTATGGTGCTCACTCAAACCTTGCTGGTGCCCACTGTGGGGAGCTGGGTTCCAGCCTCCTCATGCAGCATCACTGCCCTATATCTGTGTGCTCTGGTGTGCACAATCATGGGTCTGCTGCTCTCCTGAATCACAGGCTGGGGAAAAAAAAAACACATCTTCAAGTATACTGCAATTCCTGGGGATTATTCAGGCTGCTCTACCCTTAGCAGATCTCCCTCAGGGAAAGTTCAAGCCTGTTTGGCTGCAGAAATCCCTCTCCAAATCCCCATCCCTATATGCTCTCCTCTTGTGCCTGTCCTTGTTGAGATGTGCGCTGCTGGAGGAACATCTGGTTTTCCTCACAATGCCTCAGTCTCTGTTGTTTTTTAGCATTCCTAATCTGAGCAAGCACTGTGTTTGCTGCAGGGACTGGTGACAAAGGAACATCACTCACTCCAGGCTTTCTTTATGCTTTTATTTTTAGAGGGGATGTTTATTATCCTTGATATTAGATGATTGCTGAGCTACAAATCACCCATCCCCTGTAGCAGAAAAATGGAAAAAAACAGTCCCTGTCTTTTTCTGCTTGGTTGGATTTAGCATGGCCCAGCCCAGCATGATGGCTTTCCTGGACTCTGGGACTGGGTGTGATGGAGGAGGCTGTTTTTTTCCCTAAGGTTGCCAGAGTGGCTGCACACTCATAAGGAATTTGTTGCTGTCGGCTTGTCCTTTCATCCTTTCATCACAGCTCTCCACAGATCTGTGCTGTTTTTTGTCTTTTCTTTTTTCTTTTTTCTTTTTTTTAACTTATTTTTCTTCCTTTTACAAAAAGCTGTGATCTTGTGCAGGGATGGACCCATAGGCAACATTGATTTGAAATGCATTTGGCTTTTGCCAAAACCTCAGTGGGATTTGGAGTTGAACATTAACACTCCTCCCTGCTCCCTGCACAGCTCTCAATGTATTTTTGATTGCTGCTTGGCACATGGTTCGGCATCATCCCATGATCAGCAGGGTCCAATTCACACTTAGCTGGGACCCTGAGCAGTGCACACTCCATGCAGCTGGTGAGCCTCACACACCCTTACTGGACAAAGCTGCAGATTTTAGGAAAATGCAAAATAACCCAACAAAAACCCCACCCAAACCCCCCAGATGCAAGGAAGGACATCTGCATTGCTGGGACTCCATTGGAAGCTGGATCCAGCCTGTCACAAGGCTCCAGCTTCACTCCCACAAGCATCAGTCTGGTGCACGGATGCTTCTCGCACCTAAGGGAGAAGGCATTGAGAAAATTCATTTTTACTGCAAAAGCCCCCCTCATTTGAGTCATGTGTTGTCTGGTGCTGGTGATGTCTGGGTGCCACAAAGCAGTCTTTGGTTCATACAGTAAGGTGTTGGGTGAGGAGGAAAAACATTATTTGGGATGAGGGGGTGGCATGGAGCAAAGCAGGCTCTTAGTGGCGTTCATAGGTCTGTTTTTGGTGCTCATATAGCCACAAACTTCTACCCTGTCCCCTCTGCCCTACTAGAGCAGTGTGGGAAGGGGATCTGGGGGCAGCAGGGACAGACAGAGTGACCTCCTGGGACACATGCTGGAAGCACCAAGCAGCCTCCTTTTCTTCATCACCTGCAAATAGACCACAGATCTTCTGTATCAGCATGGACCAGCAAAAGCCCAGGTCCCCCCCCTGACGCTGGCACTGGAGGACACCTTTTGGGGGTAATCAGCAGAAATAAGGGCACCACTGTCTGGTGCGATGCAGGACTCAGGGTGGTCTGTGATCCATCCCAGCCTGTGCTGAGCGAGGGGGCACTTTCAGCCCCATCTAAGCAGAATGCTGTCTGCTTGTCACTTATAAACACTCATCAAAGCATCAGAACACAAGCAGTAAATACATTAAAAAATCCACAGCCTCAACTCTAACTTCAATGAAGCCTGGGGTGAAAAAAAGCCCCAGACCTACCACCACACTTGGAATAAACAGACAAGTTAAACTTCATTTTGTTTTCCAAAGTTTTTTTATCAATCAAGGCAATTCAAGTTACAGCTCTGTTTTCATAACAATTAGAATTAGAAAAGTGGTTAAAAATGATCCCACCAGCACTGCAGTCCAACTCAGGAAAGCATGTGAAATCCAACCACCCACTAAAAGCTGACACATGACAAAATAAGCTTCAAAACCCAATCCTATGGGCATCATGCTGACCTGCTGCTCATCACCACCTGCTAGTGCTGACTGAACCAATCCCCATCACCTGTTTTGAGGCTTTTCCTTGGCTGAGTTAACCTGGTTTTGGACAGTGACCCAGTGTGTAGCCCAGAGAAACCTCCCTGGGTATTGGTTCCCAAAATGTCCATGCACAGAGAGCTTGTGATCTGCAAAGTCTTAAGGATGCTTGACCTGGGCTGCAGCATAGTGTTAGTGGTTTTGGTAAAAAGTTTGATGGAGAGAGCATCCAGGAGCTTATGAGATAGCTTGAGGGAGCATTGCTGAGCCTGTCCCCAAAAAGGCTTGGTCATGTACCCTGGGAGTCAGACGAGCCCTTGCTCCAGGGCTAAATCCCTGCTCTCCTCCCAGCTTCCCCCTCCTACTAGCTGGAGCACTGAATGGCCATGACCACTTCTGCCCTAACCACAGTATTTAGAAAAATAAGGTTACTCTGTAATCTTACTCATTCACAACTAGTTAATAAACACCTTTGACAGTAAAACTTTCTTTTGAGGGGAGGGGAAGGAGGACAGTGTGTCTAATGGAGATTTTTCCTCCTGACAGAGCCCTGCTGAATTTTGGTACTTTCCTGGCACAAAGCTGCGGAGTGCAGCCACACAGGACTTTAAGATCCCATGTGGGAGATGGAGAGGTCAGCTTGGCCTCGTCGAGTGTAGACTTGTTGATAATGAGGCTCTGGAAAGGAGACAGAGGGTCTGAATAAACAGGGGTGTTTTGTACCTAGCCATAAGATAAACTGTCTGATAATTATGAAGACTTGTTATGGAATTCACTTGCTTTCTAGCCAATGGATTGTTAGTGGAAATGTACTGACTATGCGTGTTAGAATATAAAAGGCTTGTTTCAGAAAGTAGAAATAGAGACATACATCATGACCATGATCATTACGGCAATAAAGAAATCTTCCTGGCAAGAGAACACTGTGTCGTGTGGCTAACTCACAACAATCCAGACAGCCAGTCTGCCACCACTACCCAAAGAGTCCAGCTGCAGCACCAGCCTCTGCCTCCTTCGGCAGCTGGCACCTGATTCACCTGAGCTGAGGGACGGAAGCAGTGGACACGAGCTCTCCCCATCTGCTCCTACACAAAGTATAATATATTTTACTGAGTTCTAAGAGGGGACCAAGGCACTCATGTGGTTCCTGCCATCATTTTCACAGTAAAGGGATTCTGCTAGGAAGGCTAAACCTTGTCAGAGTGTGTTTGTAGCCTGAAAAGCCACTGTTACTTGTACTGGGGCCAGAGAGCAAATCTGAGCCCTCACAGCTAAAAGCCACAAGAAACCGGCTTAGGGGCTGAGCCTGGAACTTGCCTATGCTCCTGCTGGACCTGAGGACTCCCTTGAGACTGGTTTTGAGGCCAAAACACAAAATTACTCAGAGCAGATCCACACAGACATCAGGTTGGTTCCAAAGAAGCACAGACTCACAAAATGGCTGAGGTTGGAAGGGACCTCTGGAGGCCTCAAGCAGGGGTTACCTTGAGCAGGTTGCCTAGGACCATGTCCGGACAGCTTCTGAAGATTTCCAAGGACAGCATCCATCACACTGAACATTCTCACTTCCTTCCTAACTGTACAAGCACTTTAGATATTGCCCCAAACACCTGAGTTTCCACTTGTGGACGCTATCACAACCCATAGGTGCATCTCCTTTTTTGCCTCCTGCAAACCCAAAGGCAGTTGGCTTTAGAGAAAGACCATCACTGGTATCCAACTCTACCCAAAAAGCTGCTCCATCTCCCTGTGTGGTGGATTCACTCCTGGATGCAATCCCATAAGAAGACCTGCAGCTGCTGTGCTTTCTTTGCCCCTTGCCTTCCCAGACAGTGTGGCTCAGTTCCGAGCAGGCATGGGCTGAGAGATGCCAGCAGCCAGGGCACAGCTGGGAAAGTCCTGCCCCAGGGAACAGGGCTGCCAGACTGCAACCCTGCTTGTGATTGCTTATAGTGGAGATTGCCTGTGTCTCTGTAAGTGCATCTTCCTGAACAAAACCAAATGGAAAGCTGGGAAAGCATCCTGAAAAAGGAGGAGGGAGAAATGCTGAGAAAATCCCCACATGGCAACGGGAGGGACATGAGCCGAAGTCTTACCCATCCTAGTGCTGGGGACTGTGGGCACAGGAACATGTCACCCCACATCCCCTCCAGAAACCTCTGACAGCAAGCCCAAAAGCTGAAGAAATCCCCTGCATCTTCACGAGGGAGAGAAGGGCTGCTTCAGAAAAGCTCTACAGAACATTATCATTTCTCTAACTCCAACCCAAAACGGAGATGGATATTAGCTTAATTTCATGCTACATGAGAACATTTTCTTGGGTGCAGTGAGAACACCCACTGGCACAAAACCATCAATGCAAAACCTGGTGCTTTTCACCCACCAGCAAGCTGGCTAGCAGCAAACATTACATCCATGACTTGTGCCGCTTGCAAGAACCTGCTGTTCCCAGGGAAGCGGCACAGAGACCCTTAGAGAGACCCTTAGGCTTCAGGCAGTCCTGCCAGCAACAAACCTGAAAGCTCATCTGTCCCTAAAAAAAAAAAAAGAAAACAATACCTGTTACTGTCCTGTAACAAAGCAGAACCATAATGTATTAAAAAGATTGAGTGGGCACGTTGGTACAAACAGTGCTGCTACAGAAAAGGCAATATTGACACCCGTGGCAAAACACACAGGCCCATCTTGCAGCAGCATCAGATGGGCAAGGAGATGGAATGCAAGCAATATATAGTCTGTTCAACTGAAATAACTGCATGTCACACATGTAACCTGGCCTGCCTCATACCCAAGAAAATGGGCAAGTGTTAGTCCAGTGCCATGAGACGGGGAGGGAAATAAATCTGTAAATACATCTCTCTATAATCTACTTTGTTGGCTGCTCTTAAAAATGTCTTTTTAAATATACTTGCCATATTAGAAAACTAAAGGCAGGCTGTGCTGTAGCAACCCTCCCACATCACACACCGCAAGCCAGTGCTGAATGCCCCCATAGGATAAGAAATGCTCCCACAAGGCACTAACCAAACCTCACCTCTTAAAATCCTAGGGAACCGAAAAGGTATTAGGTTTGACTGCATAACAACTCAGTCTTCACAAACAAAGAGAAAATTCTGCCTACTACAACCCAACTGCAGCCTCCCATCTGCACCACATTAAACAAAATAGACCACCTTCCTCCAAAAACAAACAAACAAAATCCCCAAGGAGAACGAAGTCTATTTCATACATTTCCACAATCCCAGACCCAAATGAAATGTGCAATTAGAATTATTATTTCTTAAAAAGTTGTAGCGTAAGGCATGGTTTTCCCAAAGCAGATGGAGGATCCGGTTAGGAAACCCAGAGGAAGTAGGCGACCTCGTCCAGGTCGACAGGATAGTCCGTGAGCAGCACTGGCGTCTTCTCAAAGAGTTCCCCCTTGTAGCTGCGCCATTTGCCCGCCGGCAGGTAGACGTCGCGCTCCTGCTTGCCCATCTCCAGCACAGGAGCCACCATGAGGGTGTCCCCAATGAGGAACTGCGAGTCGATGCGGTGCGTGGCCTCGTCGCGGGGCGAGATCCACCAGATGGGCCGGATGATGGGGTCTCCCGTGTCGGTCACCTCCCCGGCCAGCTCCAGCAGCAGCGGGGCCACCAGCGACTCGTGCAGCTCCGTGAACTTCTGCGCGATCTCCACCACCTCCTTGTCGTAGAGCCACGGTGGGATGGAGAACTGCATGGAGGGCATGAAGGCCGACAGCTCCAGCCATCGGATGTACAGCTCCCGGTCCGGGATCTCAACTGCTCCATCCGTCTTGTTGGGGAGGAAGTTTCCTCCAATCATGTCAGCAGAAATAAAGGGGTAGCCCAGCATGCTGATGGTGAGCACTGTAGGGATGAGAGACTTGAGGCCAAGCTCATAGCCCCACACAGAGTCGCGGTCAATGATGCGGAAGAAGCAGGAGATGTTCTGCGACTGGTAGCCCACCCGTACCTCAGCCAGCTCGTAGAAGGGGATGGCCATCTCGGTGTAGCGCCGGGACCAGATGCTGGGGTCGGAGAGAGGCCGGAAGGTGCTGAACTGCTTGGGCAGGTAGCTGGTCTCACCTGCGTCAAATTTGAAGGAGGAGATGCCGTACTTGTGACGGAGCTGGCGCAGGTGACTCTGGAACCAGTCCCGGGCTGCTGGGTTGGTAAAGTCCAGGATGGCCCCAATGCCATTCCACCATTCCACCATGGCTGGCAGCCGCCCCGACGGCTCCTTGATGAAGAGCTGACGCTCAATCCCCACACCAAAATTTGAGGAATTGTAATTTATGAAAGGGTGGGTCCACAGAGTGACCTTAAACCCATCTTCCCTCAGTTTTGCAAACATCTCAGATACGTTGGGGAACTTGACAGGGTCAAAGTCAAAGTCCCCATAGGCCTGTGTGTACATGTCATCAATTTCAATGTGGCTGCAATTGAAATGGTATTTCTTAATCTTTTCTGCAAATCGCAAGAGTTTATCCTGATCGATATCGTTCTTGTAGAGGGCCCACGTGGACCAGATGGGGTATCGGAAGGCGTTCTCAGCAGGGATCTTGGAGGGCTTGTTGAAGTACCTGCGCACCATATACTTGTGGATGGAGGTGATGTCGGAGCCCACGCACACCCGGTAGCTCAGCTCGGGGAAGGGCTGCTGCCCCGGCGGGGGCTTGTAGGGAGAGTCCTTGTAGCGGGCCTGGAAGAAGAGGGAGCGCTCGGTGGCGTTGAAGCCCAGGTGGAAGGGCACCGAGTCGTTGATCTTGATGGCCGCCGCCTTGGAGGAGAGCCAGTAGCGCTCCAGGATGCCCCCGAAGCTGTCGCGGAAAGAGTAGACGTCGCTGGTGACGTAGGGCACGGGCTCCTGGTAGCCCGCCAGGCGGATGGGCCAGTGCTGAGTGCTCATCTCCGAGCCCCCGTACCAGTGGGCGTCCTCCCAGAACATGGTGTGCTCCACCGCCGGGCCGGCCGCCAGCTCCTCCCAGCGCACGCGGTAGCACATCACCGTGTCCTTGGGCTTCACCGTCTGGATGAAGAAGTTGAGCGGCCCCCGGTCCGACCGCGTGCAGCTCAGGATCTCGCCCTCCTTGGAGCACGACTCCAGGTCCAGGCTCCCCGAGCGGAACGCCAGCCGGAACACCACCTCCCCGTGCTGGTTCCTGATGACGAAGCCGTCCGCCCGCAGGTCCATCAGCTCCGTCTTGAGCCGCTCCGCCTTCCGCAGGGACACCGTGTAGTAGCACCAGGCCACCACCGCGGCGATGAACAGGATGAGGCCCAGCGTGACGGCCCCCAGCATCGGCCTCAACTCCTTGGATGGCTTCTGCTTCACCGGTGTGAAGTTTTCAGGCAGGAAAGTATACATGGCACTTGTTTTCTCTATCACTTCTTGCAGAGGAGTGGGAAGAAAGTTGTCTCTGCAGCCAGGTTGGGGTTCTCAGGAGAAGAAAACTGGGAGTTCCCACCTCCACTGAGACCCAGAGCACGTGTCTCTGAAAAAGAAGAGGATATGTATAGTCTGGGAAGAACCTCTGAACCAAGGGATCATTTGTCATCTGTTCTCTGTCTTCAATTTCAGCTGCTCTCATTGCCCCCACACTGTCAGCTGGATGTGCTGCATGTGGGGTGGCATCCACAGCCCCAAAACACCCTGCAGATGACATGCCAGGATCCCAGCCTGGAAACATCCAAGCAATATGTGCCTAAGCTTTTTGGCTGCAGCCTGCTCCCCTGTACATGGCCCCAGGAAGGAGGCTGCTCAGAGAGCCAAGAGCTGAGCGCTTTCCCTGTGCTGTGGGACCAGCCAAGCACTGTGCTGTGGGTTCAGAGTCGAAAAGTGAAGCAAGGACATGGAAAGTGAAGAGCAAAACCAGGCAAAGGAGGAACAGGGGTGGAGAGGAGCCATGGAGATGCTTGTGCATGCCTTGATCCCCAGGATGCTGTGTTGTCTCAGGGGCTTGGCACAACAAGGGCAGGACTAAACAACTTTCCTTGCCCCTTCCAGCCCATCATAGGTGGAATGCCCCAGGACTAGCAGCGGGGCAGCCCAGCTGCTGATCTTCCTGGGGATCTAGCCTGTGGGGAAAAACAGGGACCTGAGGATCTCCGAAGCCCTCTGCTCCAAGCAGGGGTGCTCAGGTGTGAGCCTGAACAGCTGGGTTCTGGAACCTGAGAATGGGCTCTATAACATGCATCACACTCAGTATATGTCTTATAGCAGCAGCTGGGGCAGACGTTGCAGCTGGGGATTTTTTTTCTTGCAAAAAGGAAGATCAGAGATCAGGCTGCCAGGAAGAGGTGCAGGGACAGAGCACAACATAGACACAGGATTTCTGGGGCAGGAGCTGCAGAAAAGGAAAGATGGGGTGCAGCTGCACAGTATGAGTGCTGGAGTGGCCATGTCAACCTTCTGCTGGGTGCCTGTGATTTTCCAGGCTGCCAGACGCTTTAAATGGGATTACAGCAGCATTAGGAAGCGATTAGCAAGAGTGGGTGGTAGGCTGAGCTAAATGACCTGTCCCGCAGCCAAGTCCCATTGAGCCTTTGCACAGACAGGAGCAGCTCTGGTCACTCTGCCTGTGTCACCCTGGGCAAGATGCTGCCTGCAGGAGGGGATGGGGCCGCATCTCCCTGCACGCATAATGCACAGCCAGCTGAGCCCAGCCACTAGAAAATGGGCAATAGGAAAATTGGGCAAAAGAGACGTTGGTAGGAGATGCTGCACTGGCATTAAACCATGCTCCTACATAAACACCTCTAGTGTTAGAGTTAGACACAACCAATAGAGCTGAGCAATGCCTCAGGGACTCTCTGATGCCCAACCTGGAGCTGCTTCCCTGCTGCCCATCTCCACAAGCTTGGGCATCCACAGCAAGCAAGAGGTTGCAGCCAGCACCAAACAACACATGGGGCTGGTGCACATAGCTGTGCGTGCTTCAGGACCTACAAATGTGTGGGCATAGCTCAAATGGGTTCCCTCACTCTCTGCACTGGGGAGTTCTGGGCTACCAGTGACAGAGCTACTGCTATCAGAGACAAGGCTGAGCCTTGTATGGGCCCTATCTTGGGACTGGGAGGTTTCAGAGGGGAGGAAAGAAAATGCATCCACCTGGAGAGCAGAACTGGTAAATTATTTGGGGAAAAGGATTTTTGGAACCTGTTGTGTTTCCTGAGAGAGAGGAAATAAATGGCTTTTTCTTCCCTAGATCTCTTCTGGGATTTTATGCTCCAGAAATGGCTGATTCTGCCTCTCTATTCCTCATCTCCACTTAAAACTGGGAGCAACAGGGGCTCTCTGGATTGTCATCGCCCTCTCAGGAGGTCGGTTTATTATTTATGAACCACTTTGAATCTGCTCTATTTTTAGGCCATTTCCCCCTCCATGGGTCGGAATTTGTGATGTGCATGGAGGAACCAGCACTGCTGCCGCCACTCAGGGGTAAAGCAATGCAGTTTGTAGGAGAGGTTTTACGCCCAATCTGTCTTGTAGTGCTTTGAAACCCTGGTGTCCAAGCCAGCAGATGCAATCCAGTCCATGTGCTCAGCCTGTCTGTGGGCCTGGTACAATGAAATGGGGATGCAAAGGATAGCAGTGCAGGGACAGCTGGCAGTGGCACAGCATCACTAGCTGACTCAGGGAACCAAAATGCTTCCCTGCTTGCAGGACAGTGGCAAAGCCAACACAACAGCTGAGCCAACCTCTGCAGCTTGGCTCAGGCAGCCCTCCATGCAGGCAGCCCACCATCCGGCACTGTCCCCCTGCAGAGGATGGTAATTTGTACACGCTGTCAGCAGGCAGCACCCAAAAATGCTGAGTGGCACCATGCAAAGACTCTCAGACCCCAGAAAACAGCTGCAACTCAGCACCCATCAGCATCATTTCTGGCATCAAATGTTCATGGTGGGAGCAAATTTACAGGGCAAAGGTGGCTGAGAAATGATTTTGCAGCCTTGAGACAGCAGAACCGTGCCACACAGGGCCTTACTCTGTGCCTGGCCCAGCACCTTTTGGGTCCTGTTAATGCAATGTGCAACTCTCCAGCCTGTGATCAGTCCCAGAGCAAAGTCTTTCAGGCACCTCCAAGATAAAGCCTTCCACCTTGCATGCAGAGAGCCTGCACATGCAAAGCCTCTTACAACATATTTTGGAATGCGACTTTGTTATTTTGCTCCAAGATGACATTGCTGTGACCTCCAGCTCCTCTAAAAAAAGAAAACAGGCAGGGAGGACAGCAAAGACAAGCAGCATGGTTGCAGCTTGCTGCGATGAAGCCTCCCAGCTGAACCAAAGCAAAGCTTTTTCTTTCTCATTCCATGGAAACAGCCAGTCACCATGCCTTGATCAGAGATGAAAGTGCAGCATTCAAGCAGGACACACTTTATGGAGTAAAAATAAAAATCCTTTTTTGATCAGTTCTATTTTTACTGATACAGCCGCTGAATGTGGGCTGCGAGGCCCACAGCACCATTAACCCCAGCACCTTTATAATGAGGTCATTCGTTTAAAAATGGTCACCTTCATCAAACCAGTCCCTATTGCCCCAAATTGTCAGCTCTGAACTGTGCTGGCACCAAGTCTGTGCCAACACGCTGCGCTGATTTCCCAGACCTGCATGCCAGGAATCTACACCCAAGGGGTACAAGGTGCCACCACCTCCACAAACACCTGGCAGGGGTTGAGCAGATGGAACACTGCAGTCTTCACCACCAGGCATTTCCAGTCCTTAAAAGAGCAGCAAAATAGGGAAGCGAAAAGGAAAATGACCTCCACAAAGTGCCTATGGGGGAAAAAATGCCACTGAAAGCATGGAGCCATTGACTTGCTAAAGGGACTTTGCAGTCTGCCAGCTGTAAATCTGAAAGGAGCTGGGATGAGCAAACCCTTCTGCATATTAAGTTTATCCAGTGCTTTGAGTGAAATTGCTGTCCCATCTGATGGGAGATAGGAGGCAGGGGGACTTGTGGCAGAACGGCTGCTCCATGGACACGCTCCTCACAGTGGCATCAATTTGTCCCCTGCCCTGCAATCACCGTGGGGTCCTGGGTTTGTCCCCACACGGTACAAGGCACTCCTAAGTCAGCCTGGAGGGACACAGGTCCCCAGGCAGTCACGGGGACAGCCAGAACATCCTTTCCTCGGGACCCAAAAATGCCTGGTTTCAGGGACTCGCAGGGTGTCATTTTGCAGGAGAGAAGTGAGAGCTACCTCCCTGCTTCTGGGATGCCACTCCACGTCAGTCCACAGCCAGGCAGACATCACCACACCAGGATGTGGGGTACAGACAGCTCATCCCAGAGGGGACATGGCACACTGGAAGAACCTGCAACTTCATTGCCTCCTGGGGCAGAAATCCACATTGCTCCTGTGTCTCCAGCTGCCCTGCCCTCCACACTGCACTGCCAGGCTGCAAGCAGAATATGCCTGAGGCAGAAGGAAGGGACCTGCATATCATTGGCTTGTCACTGTCACAGGTGTGTTCTCTCTGGCACAGTGATGGCAGCGTGCAGCCAGCCCTTGGGCCATAGTGGCAGCCACAGACATTGTGGTGGCACTGGGCGAGCGCGAGGGGCATTGCTGGCACTGGCAGATGTCAGATGGGATTTGGGCTCACCGTTCATCTTCCTGCAGCAGGAGAGGAAGGGATGGCAAACAATCATCCTGCCTGCACTCAGAGGTTTCAGGAAAGCAGAAAGCAAAAAAAAAAAAAAAAATGAATAAAAAAAATCAATCCAATGCCAAATTTAAAAACAAACAAAACAAACATTATTTTTATTGTTTTCCCCCTAAAGTCTAAACACAGCCATGATTCAGCACTATAACAATGCTGCCTCAAGCAAAAGGAAACAAGCAACCCCTCTGCTGCTGGTTGCACCAGGCATCTTGAGGATAAACTCCAAAGTGCGTATAGAGAGCTCACCAGAAAAGGGCAGAAATACTGCCAGGACATTGCGCGTCTGCAGAAATGAACTGCAACATTCCCTCTGCTGAACCTTAAACATTTCCACCTGTATTGCAGCAACTGGTACTCTGCAGCTCAGTTACACTTCTTGAAGCTGTCTGCATCAAGTGATGCTCCAAACCCAGTTAAACACCTCATGAGTGTTTGACCAGGTCTGCCACACAAAAAGCCCCACAGTGAGTCAACCTTGGCAGGAAATGTCTTAATATCTAATACACCTGACGATTCCCTCTTCACAACATCCTCTTTCTTTGTTCTTTGCTGTGTGCTAATTGGTAAGATGAAGTTTTAATAGGCTGGTTTTTAGCTGCACACAAGCAGCGCAGCACAGCCAGCTCACACCTAAACCACACCCACTCACAGAGCCCAAATTTCCCCAAGATGCTGAACACGCAGGCCCACAATGTGAGGAAAAGGAGAACTGAACAAACCTGTCCCCAAAAGCCTTGAAGGTACAAATGCAAAAAGTGATGCCTCACAAAGTGGCCGTGGGTCTGAGACCAAACGCTGCGCAGGCAGCCAGCCATGCTACTCTCCTGCTTCCTCACAAGGATCCCTGCTGGCAGCAGCAGCTCCGTCAGTCTCAGCACAGCATCACCCTCTGCCAAAGGGGAACGTGAGCAATGGCTGCAACAACCTCATGTGTGTGACCCAGGGCCCCAGCTCCTGCTGCACAGGGTCTGCATTTTGTTTCTTTTGCCCCTCACAGCATGGTTTGATGAACATAGCCCTCCCACACACAAGATGCAGCTGTGTCCATAGTGTATGAAAACAGGGACAAAACCCATCCCCACAGAATCAGAATGCAGCTGGAAGGGACCCCACGAGGATCACCAAGCCGAGATCCTGGTTCCACATAGCAACAGCCAAACCCAATGCTGCATGCAGCGTCCCAGTATTCTGTAAGCTCCAGCAGCTCCAGCCGTGCCCGCTGCCCTGGGCAGGCCGTTCCGTGCCCACCGCCCTCTGGTGCACAGCCTTTCCCCACCCCCGGCCCTCCCCTGGCGCAGCTCCATGCCGTTCCCTCGGACCCTGTCGCTGTCACACAGAGCAGAGCTCAGCGCTGCCCTCCGCTCCTTGAGGAGCTGCAGCCGCCATCAGGCTCCCCTCCGCTCCTCCGCTCTGTGCCCAGCACACCCAGGACCCCCAGCCGCTCCCACACCCCACCAGCACCGCCGCCGTCTCCCCAGCGCTCCTGAGCGCACAACACCTCAGCCCTCAGAACACCAGAACAGAACAGCCCTCAGCAGGACCCATGCCCAGCCCCCCAAGCACCTCCACGACCCCGAGGCCCCGTCCCACCCGTGCTGAGGACGCACCCCGTCCCCACTCGCCCTGCGGCGCTCGGGTCCCTCTGCGAACGCACGGCGCCGTGCCGGGCTCGGTGAGCAAACGCCAGCACGGCGGGAGCCGAAACCTGAGCGCACCCAACACCCAACCGCTACGATGCGATACGGGGGAGGAAACGGGAACCCCTGGCACAGCCTCTGCAATTTTCCAGCCTTCGGTCCGGCGGGCTGCCCTGTTGGCGACACGGCACGCGAACGCCCGCCCTTCAGCCCCGCACACCAGCCCGAGAAGGGAGGCAGAGGAATCGCTGAGGGCTCCGCCGCTCCACACCGCTGCTGGCACCTGCCGGGGGAGGGAGGGAGGCCGGGAGGGGCTGTCCCCGAACCCACCGAGGATACCCCCGCCTCAACCGGGCACCCCGCAGCCCCGCACACTTACGCGCAGCCCCGGGCCATGGCAGGGCTCCTGCAGCGGCACTACCGCCTCCCGCCGCGGTTCCGGGGCTGGGAGGAACCGGAGAGCCCGCCCCGGCCCTGCCCCCGGCCCGCCCCGCTGCCCCGGCCCGCCCCGAGCTCCGTGCCGGCGGTGCCCTCGGCGCTGAGGCCGCGGCGCGGGGAGGCTGTGCTGCCCGCTGGAGCGGGGTTCTCAGTTCTTCATTCATCAAACACCTTCCTGAATTACCCGCCTTCTTTCATCAGACGTCGCTCGCAACCCCTCCTCCCTTGTTCAGCCCCTCTCTGGGGGACCTCAGCCCTGTGCCTGGATAATTTGGCAAAAGAAAGCGTGCCCGGAGTGCGGGATGGATGGCCGCTTCTATTTCTGGAGGTGTCACTGTGCCCTGAAAGCTCTTCTTGCGTGCTTCGGTCTGTAGCTTGCGTTAATAGCTCCTGGAAATCACAGAAGCATAGAACCCTGTAAAGCCTTGGGTTGGAAGGGACCTCAACCGCCCCCCAGCTCCACCCCCTGCCATGGGCTGGTTGCCCTCACTGCTCAGGCTGCCCAGGGCCCCATCCAACCCGGCCTTGAGCACCTCCAGGGATGGGACACCCGTAACCAAGGTTTGTCCAATTGTAGCCCAAGGTCACAACATTTACTGGTCTCCCCTTTGCAGGGAGTTCCTCATTCTGTAGGAACTGAGCTGCCAGGGGTGGTTGTCCAAAGGTTTTATTGAGAGCTCATCTTCACTTTCCACTAATGTGCAGGTGCGTGGTACATCTCTGAGGTGAACTCGGGGTGGATGGTGTAGCTGCCTCTCTGCACTCCTCCCAGCTTCTTGAAGTGGCTGGAGTCCCACCTAGGAGAGGAGGCATGCGCTGCTACATGGGCAGGATGAAATTCTGCTTCTGGCTGCCAGCACTGCAGAGACAAGCACTGCCCACACAGCCTCCCATCCCCTATCAGCACCTCTGGGTACTGAAGCCGAACAGTGGAGCTGAGATCCCTGGCACTGTCACCTCAGTGAGGTCTCTCCCTGCCACCCCCACTCCTTGCACTGTCATTTTCCTAAAATCTTAGCTTCCAGACCCATGTGAGTTCAAGAAAATACACCTTATTCTCAGTGGAGAAGACTTTGAGAATCATCCCACCAAGGTTTGGGCGTGCAGACAACTATGGAGACCTCAGTGCTCCTTGTCCTTGTTTGTTTTCAGTTTCTGGCCTCAGAAATTTAAGGCCAATCATTTTCTGCAAGCCTAACTCCTAATTTTGGATCACAGGCAGTTAGTTGGTGCAGTAGCACAGCAACAACTATGCTGGAGAACAGCCTCCTCTCTCCCTTGGCTGCTTCCCTGAGGGTTGTTCTAGGGAAAAAACTGCCTCTGCAGTGGAAAGATCCCAAAGATAAACACACAGGGATTAAGGATCTGCAGCGGGTGAAGGACATGGCTAATTACTGTGTAAAGGGCAGCATGACTGGGGAACGGATCCTTGGATGACAAAAGCAGGCGACGGCAGAAAGCACAAGAGCTACACAGGCAGCACGAATGTGGCACCAAAATCTGTTTGGTGCTAAGCCATGTACAGCCAGGTTTAGGGGCACCACCGAGAGTTTGGGTGCTGTGCAGTCCCAAGGACTCCAGGATGCAATCAAGCACAGCAACACCTGCCTTTGAGGGATGAAATTTAGCGGCTTCTTCTTCACAGATAGCAATAATGGGCTCCAGCTCAGCACCACAATGATGCCTGCTCTGCCTGGCTGTGGCCTACTTAATCTGTAAGATGGAGGAACTTGTTACTGACTGACCACCATAATGGGATCCACTACCCCTCGGGATCTGCTTTCTGCACCATCACTCCCAGAACAATCCTCTGAGCAATTTTGCATCAAACCCTAACAGAAAGGGACCTAGCCCCTTGCTGGTGGTAGCTAAAATAATAGCTTTGCACCAGGGCAACTTGCCTTTGACTGGAGCACTCTCACACATACTGTGTTCATACCTAGGGCTCATGTATGGGTATGATGGCTGGGGGTGATGTGTAGGTGCACAGAACGTCACCATAGGGCTGTAATTGCAACATGGGATGCTCCTGCAAGAGACAAGAGGCAGAGTGAGCGGTGGTCCTGAGAATAGAGGGCTGTTTTTCCCAAGCCACTCAACCCAGCTCATCCCAACCAACTCATCTCATCCTAGCCCACCCAACCCAACTCATCTCACTTCAGCCCAGCTCATTTGAATCCAAGCCATCCCGGTCCAAACCAAAACACTCACTGATCCATTCACAGCCCATCCCAGCCCAGCTCAACCTTACAGTCTGTTCTGCTAGCGCATGGAGATGCTTCCTGATGGCAGGGTCCCCATCGACATAGTAGTCCATCCCTCGCAGGCAGTAGTGGCGACCGGAGCATGGGCTGTAATAGCCTTGGAAGGGTTTCCTCCCTGACATAGTGTACACAGGCTGCAGGGACGATGGTGAGAGCCGCGACAGCCTGCGCAGCATGTCACCAACCACCTCCCTCTCTGCAAGCAGAAGGACAGAGAGGGTAGCAAAAAGGAGGAGCAGGCATCTGATCAAGCAGATGGCCACTGGCATGGCACAGGCACAGCTACAGCTGGAGCTCTGGATGAGGGCAGTTACCATATTGGTTGAGGCAGGCAGGTTTCGGGGGATATGGCACAGGTATGCTTTGAAGAAAAGTCTCCATTCTCTTCTCCTGCAAGGAGTGATTGCAGCCTTTGTAGCATTGCCACCATGTCACAACAGAGCCCAGGGTGCTGATGGCACCCGAGGTAGCTCCAGTTTTGCAGGGGTAAAGTAAAAGGGGCCAGATTCTACCTTGGGTGGCAGGGGGAGGTAGGTGCTGTACTTGTTCCAGGCTGCATTGTTGTAGGGTCCTGCTCGCCAGGTGATGTATTTGTCCTCATTGACAAAAACTGGGCTGTATTTCTCTGAAATGAGAAACAGACAGGACTGACCTGTGGGGCAGATGGCTGCCAGTGGGGTCGGGGATGTGTGACACAGCTGGAACATCCCATCTGCTCTCTGAGTCTCACAGATACAACACCGTGGGTTCAGGGGCACTTGAGAGGTGCTGCTGCTGGGGTCCTTGTTAAGGGCCATCGGGACCTTCATAGGTATGAGTGCCAGCACCTCCATTCCACTGGTCAAGAGACAATGGAGGCAGGGTGAATGGTGGCACTGAGAATGAAGGAGGGTATGTCCATTCCAGCCCAATCCAGCTCGTCTCAACCCAACCGTGGGAGCCAGGAGGGACGTGTCCTTCAGCATCACTGAGCACCAGTAGGTGTTGAGGGGCTACCAGTGGGGTGAGCCCAAGAGGGCTCACATGGGGATGCTGACAGGTGGTTACAGCCAAGCTACAAGCACAGATGGCAAGTGACGGCCACTTTGCCACCACTGGGGAAATGCAGAACGTAAAAGGAGGGGTGGGCAGAGTTGCACCTAGAACTGGCAGCTCCCTGCCTTGTGGCCCTCAGTGACGTGAGGCCCTGTGTGACAGAGGGGGACAGGTGGGAACTTACAGTACCTTCAGGTTTGGTCAGCCAATATTTCTCAGGCCAGTAAGCAGTGGGGTCAATGGCATTCCGGTACAAATACTCCTGCATCACAGCCTTAATCAGCTTCTCAGGCTGACCTTGGTGAGACATATTTTGCTCCTGGGGCACTGTTAATCCCTAAAGACAGTGGAAAGTGAGGTGAGATACCCAGGTGATGCACCTGCCTTTATCAGCACTGGGAAATGTGGTGAAGCCAATCACTGATTATCAGGCAGGACCTAACATTGGAGACACGCCCCAGAACTCACCAGGAGGGTGAATATCTGCATAGAGGGTGTGCGCTGGGGACAGAGAGTGGCTGGGTACCACTACCTCTTCTCTTCTGCATTTGTAGTGTCTGGGACATCCAGGTGCTTTGCAAAGCAGAGGATGGTGTGGGGACAACAGGGCCACTACGTATAAGGCCAGCAGAGGTAGGGAAAGAAGCTGTGGGATAAAGCCCTGCAACTGGCAGAGGCCAAAAGGACTGGGGTGTGCCAGGATGCCTGGGCTGCAGGAGATGCTTCTGTCTCTTAGTAGCTGTGACATCCTTCTCCATGCCCTCTGCTGGCTCTCTAATTATAACACACACGTTAATGAGGCTGCAAGAGATAACCCATTCTGTGGTATGCTTCACATCAGAGCCTGCCTGGTGGCTAGACTGTGTGGGGAGAACCATATGGCTGTGGACCATAGGGACCTCCCTAACAAGATCATGTCTCAGAGGTCTGTCCTCCTCCAGGAGCAGGGCTGGGAGATGTTCTGCCACACTCAGGACTGGACAAGCCTCAGGGCTGCGAGCTGGGGAATCCATCTGCCCCCATCACAACCACATCACCTGGATGCCCTGCCTCATTTCCCCCTTCCCAGTGGATGCACTCTGAAACCTGCTGATGGTCAGGAAATGTGTGAGAGCTTGTGCTTGTCTGCCCCATAAGCACACTCCACAGACACACACCAAGCCCAGGGGACAAGAAATGTGGAAAGTAAAAATGTTGTTTCTGCACTGGATGAGGAAAAGGGCAATTGATCTAAAGAAGAAAGCTGTAGCATATCCTTAGAAATAGCTGATCCCATATACATATTAGTAATCCCATATACATATTTGAAACATAGTTTAGAAATATAGTTACCAAATTGCGTGACAAATTCTTTCTCACAAAGCTGCAATAGGCTTTAAATGTTCTAAACAATGTGGGTATAGTATTCTGAACTAGGAAACATATTGTAAGGTTGTTCATTAGGACAGCTGAAGTGAAATGCATTTAACAAGCTTTCAAGGAGTCACGGCCTTTCACAAAGCAGAACTGTCCCACTCTGTGGAATGTTAAGGATGCCATAGGCAGGCTCCAAGATACTCCCCTCTATCCTCCTTCCAAGCTTATCTCTGTGCAAGGACAGATGGATGACCAAAACAATGACCCAGTGTAAAGGGCACAAATGCTAGGAGGTAATTAAACAATTAAGAGGTTATGTTTACGTTTATGTTGTAAAGCAGGCATCGAAAAGTTA